AGTATTTTTAAGAATTGATTAATATAGTACATTTTTACTTACCAATACACAAATTCACAATTTCATATTAACTGTATTAATATTATATTGTACACTTATTTATGTATTAATATCATATAAATATATAATATTCAGAAAATTAATGTAAAAGGCAAAAGCAATAAAAATGATCTAAAATCATTATAATCATTTATGGAGTAATAAGTAATAACTTAATGAAAATTTAATTAAAAAGTTTTGTTATTTCTTTGTACCTACTGTAGTTTTGTCAGAGTTGGTGTAATATTTTTTTTCAATTTTTTGTTTTAGACTGATTTTTCTGTTCAAAACAATGTTTTAAACAAACAAATTGTTTGAGTTTTAAACAGAATATTTGAAAAAATAATACAATATTCACTTAGATTTTACACTGTTTTAACCATATGTATTAATAGTTATAAACAATTAACAAAACGTTTGTTTTAAATTTATGTTTGAAATAAGTTGTTTACAGCATAGGTAGTGTTTTAAACTTTTAAATATATAACAAGTAAGTTGCAGTAACAAGTAACTACTAAGTACTAACAACCCTACAGGCTACAAGATTTGTATACTTTTGTATAATCGAGGATATAAGATAAAAAGATGTGTACTATTTTGACGTCACACGCAATTCAACCAATCACAACACACTAGCACGATGAGCGAACCTTCTATTTATATTAACCTTGGACCACGACCACGGCATGAGTGCATGATCATGGCTAAATAGATTAGTTATAGAATTGTGGTAGAATGTAGATAGGCCAGTGCCGGTAAGTGTGTAAATTCCACAGACGTGTACAATAATTATTGTATAGATAAATTAAAAATATAGAAAACCGTTAGTTTATTATCCAATATATTTCAATTTTCAGTAAAAAATAAAGATTGAAAAGTATTCATATCATGTATTCGTGTGCAGGTATTTCCGTGTTATTTCGACTATCTAAATATTTCTAAGACTACCTGAATCTGGGTTATATCGACTACCTTCTGACCTCCGCATAAGAATCCTTTCTTGGATCTTACCTATTTCCAGTGGCGTATTGGTGAATATATTTATGGGTATACGCACTAATAAAATGTGTATGTACCCTAAAAATACGCTCGGAACAACTAACTTCAGTTTTTAAATCTTTTTATTATCAAATATTTCATTTTGGTAAAAGAAACCTTAACTTACAATATGTATTATATATTATTTATTATACTTAATTATATTACCTATAGGTACAGTATAGTGTATACGAGCATACGGCTGTACAGAATAGTGAATAAAATTATATTATATATATATTAGGTATCTATTAACCTACTGGCTATTACTTATATAGTTATATTGTTATTTTCATTAAAGTGTATAATAGATAACATTATACCTACTACATTATTCTTATTAGAATTTAGTAAACCATATGATAAATGAATTCCGGAATAAAAATCCCCGGAAAAAAAATCCCCAAAGCAACTATTTTGTATTAAAATTATAATAATAAAAATTATAATATTATCTTTATACCTATATTATTAATTAATATATATCATCAATATATGCAACAAATATGCATTTACAAAATTTATAATTAAAAATTCTAAGTTGTACTAAGTATATGAAAAAAGAATTGGGTTTTGCTACGAAATACCATACGGTCCATACGGATGAAGAGTTTCGAAAACTATGGGAATGATTGATGCACTTGCATTCCTTCCATTGCACCTTGTAGAAGATGAAATGAAATATTTAAAAAATAGTTTACCTGAAAATCTTATGGATTTATTAGATTATTTTGATTCGTATTAAGTAAATGGCAAGTATCGAAGAATTGGAAACGACGAAAATAACATGAGGTTTCGAAAACTGCCACCAGCTGTGTGGAATGTAAATAAAACCACCCTCAATGACTGCCACAGAACCAACAACATCGTTGAAGGGTGGAATAATAGGTTTTCCAAACTAGTTGGTCAAAAACATCCTACAATTTGGAAACTTTTTAGGAAAATTAAAAATGAAATTGACGCCGATTGAGCACAGTTAGCATTGGATGCTTTGGGTGAACCAAAAGCACAGTACAAAAAGAGGACAAAATCAAACAATAAAAATCCGCTTGAAAGAGTTAGTTATAAGACAAAGTGAAGATAAATTAAGCATTGGAGACTTTTTGACAGCTGTCTCTGACAATATAAGAAAACGAACCGACTGAACCGAATCTGACTTAATTAACTAACTAATATAATATTATTCATTATTATTATTATTATTTTTTTTTTACTAACTAATATACTGTAATATACTAATAAGGTATATTATTATAATTATGTAATTTTTAAATAGTTGCTTTGGGGATTTTTTTTCCGATTACCATGATAAATTGATACCAAAAGCCAAATAGAATTTAACTGAGCATATTATTCATTTTTTATATCTCACATTTTTATTTTTTTAATGTATTTGTTACATAATTTATCTTTGCTTTATTCGATGTGGAGCAAAAAAAATACTATGAGCTATCTGCTATACGATCAATTCAAAATTGGAAAAACTTAAGGAGAAACGCTGATCATTATGTACAGTTGTAGAGTAGGGTAGATCAAAAATTGTATCGACTTGGGTTTAAAAAAAACAAATAATAACCAAAATATTTCATTTGCCAATAAATAGTTCAACACAAATCAAAATTTTATGGTGTATAGAAAATGCTTACATAAATATTTTAGTGAAAATTTCATGTATTTACCTACATTCTACGGTTATTTTTTTTAGAGTTACACTAAAAACCAAAATCTATTTTTCGAAAAATGGTTTAGCGTATAAATTCCCGTTTTCCTTAATGTTTTGTTTGTTTTTCCTGTTGCTTTTGAAAACTATCGGGAATTTGAAATGTTGACCCCCGAACGCACCAACTAGATTCACTTTCCTACCAGAAAAGCTGCTATTTAAGAAAATCGAAGCACTTTTACTACAAAAAATCGCGATGATAGACAAAAAAAAATTTGGCAATATGAAATCAGACATAGAATATAAAGAAATAAAACTATTTAATAATATTATATTACATAACCTACATGAACTATGTAAAACGTATGTTTTTCCAAAAATTAAAAAATAAGTAATCTTAATGTTTAGTTTAAATAGAATATATTATAATACAATTAATTATAAATACCTACTTACATTTCTTATTTATATTAAAGGTAAGTATAATTATTCTGTTCTATGTAGATTTTAGAGTAAACATTATATTTTAGGTTATTGTGGTAATGTAGTGTTACTCAGTTGTGCGTACAGTAGTATTGTTATTATATTTATACAAATATTTTAATATTCTGAAATTCTGATTATAATATTTTTAACACAAAACACCTTCATATTTAACTGTTGGGTAACAATAAGCAATATGGGTTTGGTTCACTGTTAATTACTAACCAATTGTTAGAGAGACCACATGTCCACATGAACCATTTCCAGTGGCGCCGAAGTGCAAAATTAAATGTATGGCAAGAATCTCCGACAACCACCCCACCCCACAACATCAACACTACAACCCACTAATCAAAATTGAATCCTGTTACAAACAATTATTATGAACTATTTCATGTTTACTGTTCAACGAAAAAATTGGTATTTAATACCAAATACCCTAAATTAATTTTTATCATCTTATTCTTCTATGGACCCACCCCCCAGATATTTGTTTATATATATGGCACCTGCCATACATAAACATGGACTTCGGCGCCACTGACCATTTCTTATAATTACCAAGTAAGGAAAAATTACAATTTTTTTATAAAAAATAAATGTTTTTTTCAACACAAGTGTGCAGATGTACCTATAACTGTCATAGGATTAAAAACATTAAATGATTGACAATAACTATAACTAGTTTTTTACTATGAAGCCACTACATTATGTTATGGACACAATTATAATATGCAACAATTTAAAAACCAAGTTATTTTTGATGTTACCAGTTTTGACATAACATATTTTTATACACATTATTACATTAATTTAGGTATTTTAACAAGTAAATAATTGTTGTAAATTAAACATGTTATATTAAAAAATGTATTGATTATATACAGTAAGTATATTGATCTTGAAAGTCATTTTTTTACAGAAAAAACATAATCAAAAAAAAAAATAATAATAATAATAATGTTACTTAAGAGTTATTTATAAAAGTAAAGCCTCCAATGTTACTTAATATGAAAGTACATATTGAGTTATAAAAATAAAAATAAATTGAACAAATTGTTGTTCATTATTTAGTGATACTAGTATTACCGTTGTTTGGCACTTCATTACCTGTAACAATAAAATAATTATTATTTGGCGAAATTCTACATTCTATATTTTATTAATACTGGATCGAGTTGTTAAAATATTTAAAATAAAATAATTTTGTAATACAGAAAATACATAAATTATTATGCTTAGAAATGTGTTGTGATTGAACAAAATGTTAATAAAAATATATTTGTAGTTTATAGTAAAATCTAGATCTAGGATCTTGTTGAATCCAATATTTTTAATTGAAATATTTGCATTTTTACCAGCAAATTTTCCTTCGTCAAATGCTTTCCGTGCTTTTTTCAATTCTTCATTCATCATTAATAATTCTTTGACCCTAGCATACTTTTTTGCATCTTTTCGCACTAAAAATACAATATCTTCTACTTGAACTCGTCCAGACCGCCCAATTTCCATTGCATTATGAGTCTAGAATAAATGTTACATAAAAAAAATATTATTTATGATATTGAAATGTGTACTTTATAGTTTATAGTTATTAAAAATAATTAATAACAAATAATAGGAGCTTATTATAATACCATTTCTGTGATAAACTCAATTACTAAATCTTCAAGTATGTCAACACTTTCAGTGTATGGATTTTCATCATCACCAAAACCATACATCATGCAACGTAATTCTTTTGAGAAAAGTCGCTTTCGACCAGCTTTTGTAAATGACTGACTTTCTACTTGTTGTTCTTCTTCGTCAAACTAAAAAATGACGTAACTTATTAATAAAATAGTGAATTCTACATTCATACACAAATACAATGAGTTGATTCATTTTTGACGAGATCAAAAATGTATCTTAGCTAAGAATAAATAAAAGGTCCATATAAATGTAAAAGTTTAAATAAAACACATTCAAACATTTAAAGCACTAATATTAACGAAATTGCTATTTTTTTTCAATTAAAAATAAACAATTACTGCAGATGATTTTATTTTGAAAATTTGAAGCCAAAACTTTGATGAGCAGTTTTTAAGTGACTACTTATTAAACTTTGTGTTTAATAATGATAATAATCCACAATAAAAGGTTTGGAAAATGTGGGAGCTCGGGGCTATGATGATTTTAAAACTATACAGGGTGTCCTGTGAGGATTTAACCATTGCGATATCTCCTGAGATAATAAATACATTATAAATTTGTTTTTTTTATTACAACCAAGGGCATAAGGACAACATACATTTCATTTTTGAAACAATTGAAGATACCAATTTTGTAGGATTTATTTTACTGAACACTTTGACCTTTCAACATTTTATTTTCATTCATTTCATGGTTTTTAATAATTTTTTAGTTTGTTAATAAAACTGCAAAACATGGTTTTTGCCCAGGGGCAAGTCCCCCTCATTGGCTAATGGGTATATCATTCGAGACACACTGTATAAAGGTATGTATTAAAAGTATGTAATATTAATAGATGAATAATAATTTATAAACATTGTGACATTTGACTTTATTAAGTATACACTATACACATTTATACAACTTTGTATTAAACCATTAATTCTTAATTTAAATTTAGATACATTAACGTTTTCAAAAAAATAATCTGCTCATTTTAGAGAAAAATTTGTTTTTATTTAAAAAAATAACATAAGAATTTTGTTATTGTAACAGGATACTATTAAATGGCATGTAAATCTATTTCAAAATATTATGATTATTAGTTTATAATAAAAGTTTACATAATATCATAGACCACAGTTTATAATTCACAGATAAATATTCTAACTTATTGATGCTTATATTATATGTTAATCAATAACTTTACCATGGAAACTGAAATAACGTACTTATATACTTCTCTTATTCTTTTTTCTTACTCAACTTTTCTTTTAATTTAATATTTTTTAACTTAAATCAATTTTATATGGATTTTTATAAATAAATCTACAATAATGGGAGAAAAAATAGTACCACTGGAGATGAATTTAGTGCGCTACAGTAATCCAGTAGCAGTCACAGAACGCGAAGAAAAGTTGACAAATAAGGTTTGTTATTATGATTACTAAAATTCTTGCTGAAATTAATGGGACTTAATTAGTTTCTTTAAAATTAATAGAAACTTGATGGAAAAGATGGTCTAATATCAAATGAAAAAATTAAAGAATGTGATGAAATTTTAAATTGTATTCTGCCACCAAGAGAATGGGAAGAAAATGGAAAACAGTGGAGACAAAAAGTTTCAAATCAACCAGCAACTAGAATGGATGTAATCAAGTTGACAGAAATGTTAGATATGAGTTTGCAACATTTACAGGCACGAGAAACGGGTATTTGTCCAATTAGAAGAGCTCTCTATTCTCAGTGTTTTGATGAAATAATCCGCCAGGTTGAAATTAAATTGATTTATGTGAAACAATCCTTGCTTTAACCTCAATGTTTTTATCAATTTTTAGGTCACTATCAATTGTGCAGAACGAGGACTTTTGTTACTGAAAGTCCGTGATGAACTTAAAATGACAATGGATGCTTACCGGTCATTATATGAGAGTAGTATCGCATTTGGTATAAGGAAGTCATTGTCTGCAGAACATAATAAGCTAGACATGCAAGACCGATTAACTGAATTGGAAGTTGAAAAACAAAAAATCAAGGATGACTTAGCAACAGCAATTGCAAAATATGAAATGGCTCAAAGACAAGGAACTGAACAACGTATTGCTGAACAACAAAGGCACAACGAAGAGATCAATTTTTTGAAAAGATCCAACCAACAGTTAAAAGCTCAGCTTGAAGGAATTATAGCACCAAAAAAATAGGTTTGAGAAAATGAGCCAATTGGCAACATAAACAAAATATGTGTACTTTTTAAGATTTTTATTTTTGTACAAAGGCGTATGATTATGTAGCTATTATTGTAACTGTTCAAAATTCCTCAAATATGGTTAGGTTAGGCATTTTTGGCAGTGAGCTATATTTTATTTTACACACCTAAGAAGTTTTGTACATATTAAAATAAAGATATATATCAAATATAAAATTACAGTTTGTATATTATATGATTTACTAATTTTATAATTAGTTAAAGGTTGTTTATGGATCACATAAGGTCATGTGTTGAATAAGTATCAAATGAATAAATATTTTGAATTACCTAAATTAGTTAATAAGAAGGGGAGTGACATAACTGAAATTTTAAAAAGCTATATCTAATAAAATAATAGGAAAATAATAACAACCAACAATCTTCTTTCCATAAATGAGAAATAAAAATTAATAACCATTGGTTTTTTTGTACGCTTGTGATATAAAAGGTGGTAACATTACAATTTATCCGACACTTAAAAATATTTCAAATAGTTAATGGATACAACTATAGAGGACTTCACCAATTCTTTTTCTATATTTGTAACACTTATTTCGAAATACAGAAACTAAATGGTAGTTTAAGCACTTATGACTTATCCCACTCCACAAATTAAAAATGTTAGGTAATATATTTTCAAGAGTTTATTTTTGAAATTATATTTTAAATAAAATTTAAATTTTCAGTTATGTTATTTATCATTGTTTATAATATACTTAATGGGTTACTTTGACTATTACCTGATCAAATGCATCTTCCGTAGCCATTTCAAGAACAACACTGACAAAAAATAGCTTAAGTTCTTAAAAAATGAACACCATTAATATCAAAATTTCAATACTATTGTTTATTACTACTTTTTGTTTGATCTGTTTTTATTTACTTCTGGACACAAATATATGAGAAGGTAAATCACTAATCAATAAAATACTAAATCATTAATTAATATTTAAGATTAAGAATAATTTGAGATTATCAGACGACGTTGAGGGTTGAGCATACAATGAAGTATAAACAATAATCATTGAAAAAGATTAATCAGTAATATGGTATAAAAAAAAAAAACATCTATTCCTGATAATTATTAATTACCTATATTATGATAAAGGCGTTTGTGTGTGTGTGTGTGTGTGTGTGCTCGATAGCTGTGCTGATAGTAGATACAGTAGTATACCGCGCTATCTAGTGGTAATTTCTAGGTAAGTTCTAAATACAAATTTAATTATTAATTTCCAAGCGCTGTACAATCTGTCGACCGACAAAGCGGCAAATAAAATTATAATGGTCAATCTGCACAGTGTCAACCAACTGAAAGTGTAAACAATCAAGTTAAGGTTAACCAGTTAGGTGGCTGACCCCGGTGATTTATATAGTAACTCTAAACTTGAATAATTCAAACAATAATTATTATTTGTTATTAAGACTTCCATTGACAGCGTAGCAAAAATATATTAATATTGTCCAATTGACCAACTGATTAAGTTATAATAATTAAACAATATAATATATTAAAAGTAGGTACCGGTATACAGGGTGAGACGTTGAATGTAGTGGTATACTCAAAATTTTAGCCACTACTCCGCTCATAAATACTTTAAATACTTATAAGTAGTTATAACTCATAAACTAATCGTTGTAAATTCAATTTTTATGATCAAAATCGAACAAAATTCTGCTTTCGAAGATTAATTTAAAATAGAATGTTGTCAAATAAAAAAAAATTTAACAAAAGACAAAACTATAAGGATAAAAGATATTAAAAATTATATTTTTCAAAAAACCACGTTGTTTTGTTACGGCTTGAAACCAGTTGAGAAAATATTTTTTTGAAATAATGAGTGGTTCCTTCGTGATAAAATAACTACCTTATATGAGCTATAAAATAAATTGTATTATTAATTAATTTTAACTTTCAATAAGTACGAGAGTGTTATACATTTGTGATTGACTCAAAATAAACATCCCCAATGGTTTTAACATTTATTAAAATGTTGATTTGATTTTTTACTTTACTTAAAAATAAAATACAATAAATTAGGCACATACCCGCTTAAAGCTAAAATGTAGCTAATATGTAATATGGCTACATAGTTTTAATGAATGTGTAGGTATAAACTATAAACTCTAGAATACAGTTTAATATCAGCTCTAATGTAATTTACTAATTTAATTTCCTAAATTTAATAATACTGCTGTAGATCGTTTAATCCAATGATCTGGATGCCGTGACCCACTTTTTAAGTTTAATACGACTGCACATGTATAGGTTTTGTGAATCCCGCTTCGTTTTGGACAATAATATACTGGACTTTGGTAAGTATCTAAAAATAAAAAGTTTAATAAGTACCATATAAAATCCAACTCTTAATATTATTATTTAAAACCTATGAGACTCCTTTTGCCTTCTACGGGTAAGAAATGTATGATGGGTAGTTCAGTTATCAATTCTAATGGCAATGGTTCACACAGGCACAAATGTTCGTTATCCCAACCAGCACCTTCCAAATATAGATTATGTATGTATACTCCTTTCTAAATAAAATTGACAAAATATAAATGTATATAAATTGTAAATTACAATCAAAATTTAAGATAGATTATAAATGTACGTCTGGTGGATTTATTAAGTCATTCACTGAAGTTGGAATAGGTATAAATTCCCAGCCAAGTAAATCTATTTGGACTGAAGACTGTTTTGATTCACTCTGTAAAGTTAAAAAAGTAAAACAAATTACTTAAGATAATTTAATTATTTTAATTATAAGTTTAATGACATTGTTGTACCAGTAGTATACAAGTTAAGAAACCAGCAGGAGAAGTGAAAGCTCCCAACCAAATTGAAATAGGTTGTTGACTTGTGTTTACCAAAGTTGTAAAATATTTTACACGTTCAATTAAATTTTGCATCCAAGCACCCAAATTCATTAAAGATGGATATGCTGAAAATAATATACCAATTGTTACTCATTAGTAATTATTGATATTGTACTCAAAAGTTAAAAAAGGTAATATACATTTAAATATCTAATCAATAGGAAGACAATTCGTAGGTACCTGTTATACTCATAGCTTAACTAAATTTAACTATATCTACCATTGGGGTAGGTAAGGGGGGGGGGGTGTTCAAACATCTCCCGAAATTAAATAAAACAATCTTGAGCTTTTTGTGAATTTGTTCGAGAATATTATTAACTCGCATATTATTTAGGATTTAGACAAAAACCCCCTCCGAAAATATTTCCTACCTACGCCTATGCTATCTACTTGAATCATTTATATTTTAATCTGTGTGATTATTAATAAATGAAAAATATATATGTATGTGTATAATATAAATAAAATGTAATAACATAATTATAATAGTTTTGATATTACTTTTTAGCCATTGATCTGGTACTTTGCCTTCGTATATTTTTTCAAACATGTTTTCAATATCAGCTGGTATAATCATTAGGCTTGTGATTCCTTTTTCTAATGTCATTAATGTAATTTCCATCTCCTTAAGTAAATTATTATAACACATTGCCTGAAATTAAAGTAATCATTTTAAAATCTCAATTAATAATAACAATAGATTTAAAACATTTTTGATACTTAAATATTTGATCCGGTTTTTTAACAAATATTGTATAATATATTAAATTAGTTGGTTTTATTATCGTATTTAACAGGTTGACTGCCATGTTTACATTTGTTTGTACACGAACAAATCTCCATACTTGTATAAACAAATATTTTTATACTATCCAACAAATTTTAAACGATAATTTGCAAAAACTTCTTTTTTTATAATTTTGTTTTTTTGTTAATTAAAATATCCATTTGATATCTTCGCTGAGTAGACAAACTGGTCCTAGGGGCCACAATATTTAATTCCAATGTTAAATCAGTACAGGCGTGTACACATTTCTGTACATGGAAAGAAAAATGGTAAGTAAAGGAGTGTACACAATTTTGTACACACGGCACAGGGTAAAAAGTATCAAAAATCATTGTGGCAGTCAACCTGTTAATGAGCAAAACATGCGATAGTATTAAGAGGGAGGAATGACCGTCGATAATAGTAATTATGTTGTTGAGAATAGCTAGACGAATATAAGTAATAATAAATAATCATAATGCATAAATAAATAAAAAATGGTCAGAGATTTAGAAAAAATGTTTATTGTAGTTCAAATTTGACATAATTTGTCACAAAAATTTAACTTATGGCTTCAAAAATGTATGTTTGGGTACCTACTTGTTTACTATTTATTACAACAAATTTTCCCAAATATAACAGATATTTTTTTAGTGTAGTTTATGTCAAAAACTTAGTATAATAAAATTATTATTTGATTGAAAGAATCTCATTTAATCGTTTTAGAATTAACAATAATACTGCTAATATTTTTTAAAATTTTTTCCAACGTTTTATTGAAAGGTTATTTTGATATTTAATTGGGTTAAAATCAAAATGAAGTAAAAAATACCTCTTGTAAAATTGCAGTATTCAATACATTTCTTTTTAAATCAATTTTATCAACAATCATTTCGTGATTAATTAATGTAGGGATATTTTGAAGGATTTGAGATATTTGAAAAAGCACTTTTTTTTCTTTATCATTATCGTCTGGTGAGCCATTAAACTGTTCTTGTAAAAATGAAAGTGTTTCGCACAACAAATAGTTTTCTTTTGTTAAATAAATCACATCGGCGTTTGAGTGCTGGCCTAAGGTCTGCGATGCATCTTCACAGGGTAATGTTTTTATGAAGTCCTTGTAAGATTGTAAAGTACCATTTTCAGGGACATGACAATTGATGAGTGACGACAGCCTTTAAAAAGTAAAATACGTATTAATTGGTATAGATAATATTAAATGTTCTTTGCACAATGATGGGCGGGATTATATTGATATAATATTATACTTGTAAAAATTAGTTGTAGTAGAATTTTCATTGAAAAATTGGTTTATGTATGTGTCTAAAAGTCTTTTATCCCAAATATCAGTTATGTTTCCGCCATATAACATATTTCCTATTAAATATTTTAATGCTGTCCAAGGCGTTTCTTCGTACTCGTTGAGATAATTGAATAAAATGTTTTCTGATACCTATATAGTTATAAATCACAATGACGTAGTGATTATTTTTGAGTGCAATACAATAATGTTATAATGAATAATTTATTCACTTCAAATGTTTCTAGAGAAACGTATGAATACATCATTCAATACAAATCATAAATATTTTAATTTAATCATAATATATAATGTGATGAATTTTTATTCAAATATTTTACCTCGAAATCGGCATCACTAAAGTCATAAATTTTATTCCATCCCAGGTTTAGAAATTTTTTTCTTACGGTTAGTATAGAATGAAAAAAACATAAGTTAAATAGTATTTTTTTGTATTTGCTCGATGCGTGGTTTTGAGAATATTGCTCTTCATTAATATTTTGATATAAACGCAATAAACTGGACTTTATGTTCTATAAAAATAATAAAAAAATATTAATCGATTGATAATAGGATTGTTGTTAGTACCTATACATGATTTTACATGTTACTTAAACAGGTATAATAATTTAAATTGTACTATGTTTTAAAATTAAAATTAAAATTGATTAACCTTGGGTTGTTCAGTCGATACTTTTATAGCAGTTTGTAATAATGTTATTGGAAATTTGGGATGTGGCTTAGAACTTAGCCACAATTTAAAATCTGGATGGGTCTTGCCATCTTGCATAATTTCAATTATTTTATCTAACTGCGGCATCCACGATAATAGGAGGTGACAATTCGCTAGAAATATCCATTGACCTTCTTTTTGTCCGTTTTTAATTAAGCTATTTATTTAGTATTAAATATTTAAAACACTTTATTGACATAATAATAAAAGTTATAAATTACAAATAATAAGAATTACTTGGTGGCTATTGACTCTTGACCATTGCCTAAAGATAATGATTGAAATTTTCCTTTCTTATTGTAATTTTTAGTCATGTGGGTTAACATATTTGTCGGATCAGAACCAGGGGACAAAATATAAATCAAACAATTTGTATTATTTAAATCATTCAAAGTATGTTTAAAATCCACGATCGGCGTCTCGGAAAATTGATGTCCAAGATTTGTTGATATAAAATGTTTCATAGAAAATGATAATCGATCTAATCGCAAGCTTCTTATTATTAGCATGCGTTGAAATAAATTACATTTATTTTCCCATGGACCTAATGACACAAAGTTATAATAAACAAACTTGGCGAGCATTAAAATATTTCAAATTGTATAAAAGCTCACCAACGAGTTCTTGATTTTCTGGGTCCGGAGACTTGTACCACGTATACCACTCAGTTGAACATTTTTCAAATGATTTTTCTACATCATAAAAACTGGGAAAGTTACTTAACGCCAAAATGTTATCCCAACATGTTGCAGGTAACCAGTCTAAAAAAAATAAATGTTATTTCTGTGTGTAGTGTTTTTCATATTATAAAAAGCATTTATACCTGGACGTTTTGTCGTAATAAGCTGTTTTACTTGTCTTTTATTTAGTTTAATTCCACCGTTTAAAAGGAATTCAAACTCATCTTCATTTATTTTATTTTCCGTGATCAATATTTTGATACACATTTGGAACGAAAAAAGTAACTTATGGCGTTCGAACAATCCTCGACAGACGTTTTCGTAAACTGCATATGTGTGATGTTCATTTAAATTTTCAATCCTTTCACTTAGCTGTTCTGCTGGGTTGCTCTTTTTAATTGAATTTTTAAACAATTCGGTATAAAAGTCTAACGAGAACTGATACATTGGGTTCACTTTATCCAGCTCATTGATAATAAAATACAGTATGGCCGCACGTTTGGCACATGGTCTATAGCCCTAGAAAATATAAATATTTACGACTATATATTTAATTATAGTATAAATAAAATAGAAGTTAACTATATTTTGTGGGTTCAAGTTATAACGTGCGTTAAACCATAAATATTCTATGGCACCACCCGGTTACAGCAGTAAATACGATATTGTATTATTAAAAATTAAATTGGTAATTTTAGAATATTGATGAGTTTAAATAAATACAATAATTGAGAGCATTTTACCTCTCGAGCTATGTAGATTTCTGCCTGACTAGTTAAAGAGCTTTGAAGGCGTTCTTTAACTAAGCTAAATGTCGCTTTCGAAGATTTTAATGTTAGGAGAAGTTGTTCATTTTCTAATAATGAACATTCGCTGTCATCCAATAACTTAAGTAACTCATCTTGTAAGTCAACTAGAGATTTTTTGTCTTTTTCAATATTTATGATCGTGTTATCTCTAAGCTCTTCTAAACCAGGGTTTTCTAAGTTGACTAAAATTTTCAACAATTGTTCTTCGAGACCTTCCTCCGTAATAGCGAAATCGATTACTGTAGTCCGTGATATTATTTCAGATAAATAATAACAATCTTTTATTTTTGTTGTAATGAAAAGTCTAAAATGTTCATTGTAGGGTAATAGTTTACTACCTATTCGTATGAATTGTTTGTTTCCTATAATAAAATAAATATATTTATTAATGTATTATAAATGCCTTAATTTAAATTTAAGTGTTTTTTAATTTTTAATTTACTAACTTTGTTTCAAAATAGATCTAGATAATATTGAATTTATAAGTGGATCGACATTTTCGAAATCAATTTGTACCAAAGTTGGATATCCATTTTGTAGGGCAATTTCTAAATTCTGCATACTATTTTTTGATCTATAATCAATAATTTTTAATCCATTATCCATTTCAATATTTTTGATCCATCTCCATGCTTGACTTTGTGGATCTATTATGAATGGATATCGATAACTTTGGCTAATGATAATACCATTTTCCAAACTAAATCTATCATTGGATAGTCCGTGGTTGTTCCAGTTTCTGATTGTTGTTTGGTTCGTTAGAAATAAAGTAACTTCAAAGTTGGGGTTGTTAAGAGCTCCATTTTCTCTTATAAGTTGTAACCATAAATTCATTATAATCTCTCGAGATTTAAACCTAAACGGTCCCATGTATGATACAAATGCAGTACTTAGAACGCAATCTCCTGGTAAATAATCAAATTCCTTGTCGATTTGATTTAATGTTTTATTCCATTTCATTCTTTCTTTGGACAATCCATCGATTAGTTTTGTAGCTTTTTCCAAATTGCTTTTTAATTCTTCAGCCTATTTTAATTTAATGTAATCAAAATTAATTATGCAGACATTTAATTAAATAAATTTAATCACTGTGAACTCATTTACGTTTTATCTTAATTTGTTTTTATAAAACAAGATGACCATTGTTCGTAGCTTAAAAGATTTTTGTATTTTAATTTTATACTTAGGTAACTATCTAGATAACACAGTTTTTTTAACATGATATACCTATACGTTATAATATTTTCTGAGTTATATATTATAATTATGAATACGATACTATAGTTGTAAATACGTATAGGCTCGTATAGCATAATACTATTATCTATAATATTTTATATTTCTATGTATATAAGGGAAGATATAGGATACACTCATGACTTATCAATGCCCAGACCAAACCACTGGACTTAGGGACTTAAAATGGTGGTAAATATAGTGATATATTATGTGTCTAATAGTGTAGGGTTAAGAAAATAAAAGATTTAAAAAAAATTTAATTTCAATAATGGACTCATACAGGAATTTTGTTTCGGAAAAAAAAATGTATTATTTTTATCTATTTATATGTTGTTGCTATTGGTTACAGAAAAAACATTTGTCATTTAGGTTAATATAGCTTTATTCTGTATATAAATATACAATTGAGCAACAGCTATCATAATACGTATGAAATTTTCGATATTGTACATTAGGTATATATTTTATAACTGTCATGGAAATTTGTTATAAATATAGTTGGTGGAGTTTATTTGGAAAATTGACTTTTTTGCAGTAAAAAACGATGTACTTAATACATTTAAACAAGTTTAATATATTAAACTAGTATTAGTATAGTTATGGTATACAACTTTTAAATTATGTATTTATGTTAATAGTAAATATAATAATGAGTAATACTTATACATAACAATAATATGACTTACTTTATTACTAAGATGTTCTTTCTCAGTAATATTTTCATCATAATCCAGTTTTTGTTTTTCAAGCAGACTTTGTTTTTTTGTCAGATTTTCTTCTAATTCTTTGAGGGAAATTTGATCTTCTCTAACTTTTGCCATTGCTAAATCCGCAGTCACTCTTTTAGGTGTCATAGTTCTATTTTAAAATATTCAAGTTGACAATGTATTTATAAAATAATTTATTGTTTGTAATTCATATCCTCACCTGTACATTTTAGCATATTTTTCAATAGCAACAACCCACATGCCTAAAGATTTAGCAGCTGGTGATTGAAGACCAATTTTTTCTAGTTCAAATTCTGGGTTTTTTATAAATACATCGAGTTGTTTCAGAACATTATCGGTTACATTATTTTTATCGAAATCTTTTAACTATGGCATTCATTATGTTCATTAATTTAGTTTCATTTATTGTCAATATTAAAATAGTAATAGTATTGTGATTATTACCTGATGTAGAAAATTAGGATCATCTAGTTGTCTTTTAGCTTCTGCCCAACTTGGATCAGCTAGTTTTAATGTCATCACAGCTCCTAAAACTAATTTCACACCTTCTGGAGGTACGGAGAAGCATTTAATTTCTGAGAGATCTTTTTTATTAAGAGTGCATACTTTCTGTGAATTAAATAATACTCATATTTTAAAATTCCATTTTTTTTATAAAAGTTAATTTATTTTATACATTTGTAGCTTCTTCGAGACCAGGAATCATAAGTTTTAATTCAGATAAAGCTATATTGTACATTTCTTGGCATTTTAACTCGTCTTCTTTTATATTTTTAGAAATGATGTTTATTTCTTTTTTTTCATTCTCAATTTCTTTAATTTATTTAGAAATCATAGTAAACATTTTCTCGCATACTTTAGTGTTTTTCGTTATAAGCTCTGTAACTTTTTCTAATTCCATTGTCATATCATTTATTTTATGATTAATGCCATTAATTGTTTGTAAACCATTTCTCAATTTAATTGACATATTTTTTTTTTCAATACGTTTTTCGTGAAGTATTCTGTGAAATTTAATTTTGACATAATTGAATCTGAAAATAGTTTATTTTATCTTAAACTTACCTTTTGTATCTAAATATCATTTCTAAATAAACAGCCGGCGTGACATTATTTGTACGATTCAATTCAACTTTATTACGGTTGGAATATTCTATTACAGAATTGTGAATAGAAGAAAAAATAGAAGCTAAAGAACTTTTTAATTTATCCTTTAAAATTAAAATTGTATTCAATTCATTAATATTAATTAATAATTGTACATATTTTTAAATATTAATACACAATTTACCTGAGTTATTCCTTCGTTTTCTTTTCCATATGTCTGCAAAATATTATTAAAATAATGTATGGAATTGATGATAAGTATTGTGTTATTACTATTAAATAATAATGTAAGTATTAAATACTTATAACACAGAGGTCACAAAAGTGATTATAAGTAGTTGTCTATAAAAATAATATCTATATTAATGAATATGTATAATGTATATATATATATTAAAATTATATTATATTGTGCATTAATATTGAAAATTAATTGAATTAAAACTATTTAATCTAATGCATTATTTTAACTTTTAATTTTTATAGTTTAAATAAGAACCCTTGTTTAAAAAAACGTTTTTATAAATATGTAGTAAATAGCTTATTAGCTGACAGCTAGACAGTAATCCTCAAGTACAGGACTCCAACTCGGAAACTAAAAAAAAATTGTATTGAATATTTTGATAACTGATAAGAAATTATGAATGCTTAAAATAAAGTATTTCTTTGTTGTGTAAATCTCAAACAAATAAATGGGACACAATATAGATCTTACATAATTTTTCAAAGATAAATAAATTTTTTTTAGTAATATTAGTATTATTAGTAACATAAATATTATAATATGGTTAATCAGAATTGAGAGTTGCCATTTTATAGAAATAACCAATATTGAAAAACTTACTCTTTGTTCCCCAGTAATTGTTGCCAAAATATCAAGATCATAGAGAGAAGTGGATGCCACTTCCAATAAAGCTTCTTTTGGCCAATCCAAAAACCAGTCAATTGTAGTACAATTTAATAATGCAGGATATTGCCTCAATCGTACTCTGTTACAATATAAAAATACGAATAAAAAAAATTAAAATTGTTGGTATATCTGATACGTAATATTATTTATTTATTTCAACTTATAAGAAGTAAACTTCAATTTACAAAATACTAGATCAAAAATATATTTAATATTATATATTATAGACTATATATTAAAGAACACCTACAGAATAATAATCTACCAACAGAATATTGAATTTACATATTATTACTAATTAAATTAAATTATTATATTAATACTAAAAAAATTTGTATTGATATCAATACAAATTTTTTTAGTATTATGTTTCATAAATTAAAATACTGTTAATGCATTTTATTTCATCAATTAAAATTAAATTTGGTGTTTTTTACCCACCCAAATGATTTTTTTATAGGACTGAAAGATAGAATAAAGTGTAGGTTGTTCCTAACTTGATCTATAAAAATTGAATTAATATTTTCGGATGATTCCATTTCGTCTGCAGTCTTAATGTTATCTGATGATGCATTTATCATCTAAAATAGTTAAGTAATTGAAATTCACAATAATATACTTGTTTTGATTTATTGTTAAATAACTATTTTACTCCTTTAAATTCGTTTTCTTCGAATAGTCTCGTTACTTCTCCAGTACTCAAAATACTGTTAATGATTTTCAAAAATGAATCGTCAACTATCTGTGTATCATTAAACACAAATGATGTTGGTTGATTTTTTATTCCTGTTTCAGAGTAAATTAGTTTTAAGTCTTCTTTAAATTCCGATGTTCCGTACGATTTTGACAACTCAATCGTAAAAATACTGTACTTGCACAACCATGAAGCTATTTTTGATAGCGATGATCTACCCGATCCACCTAAGAAAAATATTTTAATTACTCTCGTGTGACGAATTAAAAAAAAAAACTGTTTAACACTTACCAATGCCAATGAGAAGTATGTGACCCATTGGTTGTGATATGACTCTGACGATACGACAAATATGTTCTATATAATGTCTAAATAACAAAATGTCTACTGGTACAAACTCCGAGTTAGAATTGTATTCTTTAATACTACATTTGATGAATTTTTTCAAGTTCTCTTCGTCTACAACTTCTTCATAGAGCATTTCTTCATTTAGAAAACTAAAAAATATTGGATTTCTTTTCGATGCACATAAATCGTGATACGACAAATGGTAATTATTTTTCAGTTGTTGATTTATTTGATCGATGAACCAATTTTGATCACTATAATAAAAAGTATGTAAAACAGTTATTTGTTATAATATATAATAGCTTTAAAATGAAGATTTTACCTTGTATCAACCAAACGGTCATAGAAAACTCGGAATACTTCATGACACCAAAGTCGTAACATAGGCACTTTAAAATTTTGATACTTGACATTACTAAGAAGTAAACCTTGAAATACCTTAAACGTAAAAAATATTTATAGTATTACGCAATGTTTGAAATAATTTGGAGCTATTGTTACTTTTGAAATATCTTTTAAATTAAATAAATAATGCATTTTTGATGGAGTTGGAGTCATGCTAATCATCATATGTTTATACAGGCTTATTGTCATCGAAGTCAATCCATTACCTGTAGTAATTAAATAATAATTTATATGATACAAATGATACAATATTGTGAACATTCTACACTTGAAATATTCTATAAAATACTTTAATGTTCTTACCTATTTCTGATACAGTTTCGTCAAATTGTTTTAAATGTTCACTGAGTATGGTGTTGTATATTGTATAGATATCGTTTTCTTCGAGATATGGTATATTGACCACACTAAAACGACTAAACATTCGGTTGCTAATAAAGGGCTTCACTTTATCAAACTGAGTCATAGCACATACGAGTAGCATATTTTTGACATATTTTGGACATTGTTTTTTAGTGTCATACCAGAATCCATAGTCTACCCAATGTCTAATTAATTCCAAGGAAGGTTGGACTCCGCAAGCCTCTTTTATAGGCATATGAATATCATCCAAAAAAGTAACCATTGTTTTTCCTAAAATAGCATTACATCTTTTAATTTTTAGAACTTTTAAAATTAAAATAAATTATGTGTATAATATATTAAAACAAAAAAATTAAGTACCAGTAAGTGGAACATAAAGTTCTTTAGTGCGTTTTTCTAATTTATCTTCGATCGTCCCTTTAACGTCATTCGATGAAGTCGAAGCTGTCATATTAATGTTCAAAAGAGAATATTCAGTTTTATTCATAGTTTCATATGCATATTTAACATTCAGTGTTTTGCCACATCCTCTAGGTCCAACTAACAAAACCGGTTGATTCTTACTTAGATATGATTGAATTAAATAACTGTGGCGAACAGTATCTATCGTTGGAATAATTATTTTGGAAAATTGTACTCTGAAATTAAAATGTATATTAGGATATTTTTAATTAGTCTTGCTTATTCAAAATTTTAATGTTACTCTCTATCATATGTCCATGTATTAGTTGAGAGCTTTTGTTCCCAATGTTGAAATTTACAGTAATTTGTATCGACTTAATAATGATAAACTGTATCTTTTACAGGAAAAATGCCTTCAAGTTTTCTAATATATACATCAATTTTATTTTTTCCGTCTTCACTCAAACAACCACATATTGACCAAATCATACTGTTTGAAAACACATTGCATAATTTATAAAATTAAAATCGCATAAATTATTTTTTTACTAATGGTAAAAAAATGATTAAATTGTTTATTATATCTTGATAATAAATAATTATCTTAATTAATATTACGTACCAAAAAATAAACCAAATCTTAATTAAAAATTTGTACTGGCTATCATTTAACTCATTGGGAATTTTATCAGCCAAATCGTGAAAGGTGCAGCTTTCTAATAACTTACACAAAGATATTATACAATTTTGGTCCGTTAAAGAAACTATTTCAGTACAGTTTAATCTTTTGAATACAAGTAAATCGTCGATGTAATGTTCAAAATTGAGTTTCATCTAAAATTATAATTTTTTCTTAAATAAAAAAAACTTTAAACTATATATTTTATTAATAATCACCTCATCTTTAAACAGTTTAAATTTACAAATATTTAACCACGAGTTGACGTATAGTCGCCATCCATAGTCGTTATGATTGTTATAAACTATACCACATTTCGAAATAATTGCAGGGGATGCAGCTTTTAAATCTTCTACTTCAAAAATAAAAGACACCTTTAGAAAAATCAGGTATAAAGTGTTAAATGTATGCTTCTTGAATCCAGAATCATGATGTATGTGTGAAGTGTACATAATTCTCATAGATAATATTAATATTATAACTAAGATTCATAGGTATTTAAAATTCAAAAATTTGAAAATATGTAAATATATTATTTGTAATGAGAATTACTTAACATGTAATACAATGTATAAACTATGTAGATGAATTTAAAAATGCTGAATTATAAGGAAGATATTAAATTATTAAAAAATAAAAATGTATTAAAACGTATGGACTATTCATCAAATATTAAATAAGACGGTTAACAACAAAAACACAATTTACTATCCGAGTATTAATAGTAAAAATATACAACAACATAAGTAGGTATAAATGAGGTTTTATGATTATTCGTCAGATGGATGTGTATTAAAATCATCATGAATAACAATCGTTCGAAATTAAACATCTATTTCGTTCATTTCGAAATATTTTCATATGAATAATTTATTAAATTTGATGTTTTCGATTGGGTGTTTTTACAGCAAAGGTAAAAGTAGGTAGATTTAAATCATAAGTGTGTATATAGAGAATATGGTAGGATAGAGTATATGTAAAAACATATTAGACTTATAATGACAATTCTAATAAATGTAATATAAAATCGGAGATTATTTTAACAAATTTTTTTGAAACGTATTTAATATTTAAATTTAGTTCCATCTGGTAAATTGTCATTAATAAAATATAATTATTTATATATGCTATAATAATGAGTACAATACCTAATTATAACATTGTTATACGAGTACCTGTTTTGGTATTAAAATGCGTTCGCCATTTTCTAAAATTAAAATGTTAGTATCGTCTATTGCAGAACTCATATTTTCAACCCAACGGCTTTCAATTGGTCCATCTAGTATCACCCACTTTTGTTCTAATCCATTATCTATTTGAAATATTTATGACTTTAATTTAATATTTTACCAGTATTTGTTTGTGAACATGTTAAGTACGATTTATGTTGTAAAATTATGATAAAGACAAAATGTAAAACATCTTATCCATAGAATTAATTATTAAACAATTCTTTAGTTGTATACGATTTATTTATAAATATCAATTAACTAGGTGATAATATTTACCCGAACAAATTTTGCGTATAATTGACGAAAAAATTCCATCCACCCATTCATGTGTATCATGATTATATTTACCATATAGTTCTTCTGTAGTTAAAGTTATTGGATTTAAAACATATTCCTAAATAATTTTTAAATGGTGTTATTATTTTAATTTAAGACTTCAAATCACATTTAAATAAAATCATGATACCATCAGTTCAATATAGAATATATATATTATTATATATATTTAATAAAAATATTTGTTCTAACAAGCAGCACAAAATAGAGTACTCATAATTTTTATGATAAAAATATTTTGAATATTCAAATAAAAAAATACTTATAAATGTATTTGAAAATGACTCGTAAATAACTTGTGAGTATGCAGTTCCGACACTCGTTACGAGAAACAATATACTTGGTTACTTTCACAGTTTCACAGATACACTTTTTTAGTACCTATTTAGAATGCGTATTTCAATAATTCACTTCGAATATATTCAACATTGTATTCAAAAACCAAAAAAATCTTAAAATACTTGAATACTTAATAAGATTGTATATTGCATTAGTGCCTTTAATAATTGTATTTAGGATATCAATTAATGTAAAACAAATTGTATGATCAAACAATGAATTAGATTAATAATTTTAAATATTAAAATGTCTTTGATTTATTTTATTTGTATTACGCATTAGCTTTAGTTATTGATTGAATGATAGTCTATTATATAATGGTTTTAAATGAAAATGTATATTAATTAATACTTATAAATTATAATACTTCTTACAATAACGGTTTCGAACGAATTGATTTGTTCACTCTTCAGTAAGATTAGTGTATCTCTTAGTGTTTTCCAAGTAATGCTTTTAGCTGCTCCAGAATTTCCTATTATTATAACGGAAGACCTGTAAGTTTTGATTTCGTATAATTGAACAATTTTCAAAACAGCAGAATCAGTGGGTTGGAGATTGTTTTTCAACATGCTACGTTGTATTGCATCTATTAAAACTTCACATTTTATTTCAGGTGGAGTTATATCAGGAAATAAATTATTTATCATATCCATAAATATTGGTAAATCTTCCTTATTGATATTTGCTAAAGTAGTTTTATGGAATACTAGTAAAATAATCTAAAAATAATATATTAATATTATTATTGTACAGTATAGCTGTACGTAAAATAAAATAAACCTCATTATCCGGTACTTCCGTGTTTGCCCGTTTATAATTTCCTGCATACTTTATTAATCCAATTAAACTCCGAAGTCCATATTCACAATCGTTTTGTTTGTTTAGCATCTGTTTTCAGAGTGAATATAGAACAAATATCTTGTTACCTAGTATCTTAGCGTCTTTGAACCCTTCGCTAAAAAGAATTGTCTCGGCGATTAGCTTACTGTCTGGGACTATCATAGACACAGTGCGAAACATTGATTTAAAGTTGTCTGGCAAGTACGAATTATATTCATAAGCAGGACACGTTGTGATAAATATTCCACAAGATGGTACTAATGTAACATCCCTGTTTTCTATAACCATCGTTTTTAGATCCGCCGCCAAAGCCGAAAATATAGATGATATTTGTTGTGTTATAGAAGATAAAACTTCAATTTTTATTCGTTGAATTTCATCAAAACAACCCCAAGCACCTTGTTGAACAAGTCCTTGTATGGAAAAAATAGAATAAAAATTATTTTGAGAGTAGTTTAGTTAGTTGTTTTAATTAAACAGAATACATATTAAAATAATTAATATTCACCTAAGAAAATACGACACATACTCTTGTAGTCTAGACTTTCTGAACAATTCACGACTATAACAAATTGGGCCAAATGTTTCCCTAAATCTTTTACTGTTTCAGTTTTACCCGCAGACGTTGAACCTTTAAGGTTTCCACCGAGATGCATATGCACAGCTGTAGTCAATGTCATGTAACATCTATCAGTTAAAGGAGTGATAACTAATCTTCCGGAGTTGCCTAAGTACTCGTATCCATATTGTTGTTTGGTGTTAGTTTGTCTTATAACAATATCGTTTGATTTTTTATCACAGTAAAATCGTAATTGAGACATCCATTCAAACGCAGACACGTCCATGCAATCTAGACAATTTTATATTTTAATACTAAATGACGATAATTATAGTTTATAAATTATAATAATATTTCATTATGGCATACTTGATTTGTACATATATTCGAGTACATCTCTACCATGTATCTCTATTACGATCAAAGCCACAACTTTTAATCTTTCAGTACTCGATAAATCGCTTCTGATCACTTTTGAGAGCTTTGTCAAAATTTTTTTTTGCTTTTTATACATTTTTTTTAAAGGATACTTGTGTTTTAAATGTTTGGACTGTACTAATGATCGGGTACAATCGGCGGTCCACTGAATCTAAATTATATTTTACATTAAAATAATTGTTTTTGAGTTAACCTGCTTCATTCATTTTGATTTACTTGAGATGCAGCTATGCATAATTGTCCTGGCCACTCTAATATCCACTTCTCACGAGTTTTTAAATTGTTTGATAATGATAATTTTACTTGCTTCAATGTTTGTTTCAGGCAATCGCGCATTGCATCTTCTATAAATTTATATGACATATTATGTTTATATACTTAAACATATGTCATAAAATATTTTTCGAATAAACCAATATTATATTTTATTTATTTATTTACCTATCGAATTTAGCCAAATTTCTGCTGGTCCCTCACATATAACCGGATGGTTCCAGTCTACATACTCCCTATCTTTAGAAAACATACCTTGCGCCTCTTTTTTTTGGTTATTATTTGTCTAAACATAAGTACCCGGTATTAAATGTATTATTTATAAATTAAAATAATAAAATAAAAAGGCTGTGATAACTTACGATGATTTTTATGCCATAGACATTGGTAAAAAGTTTTTTTAAATGCCTTTGTATAGATTCGGGATTTTTAGAGTTTCCTAGTATCTCTAATAATTCGCAATTTGATATAAAATAAAATCTCGGGAACACATGACGTTTTGATTCCATATACACTTCTAAAGCTCTCTGTATGACTTCTAAGCGGTAATTCATTGTATTCAAATGTTTAAATAAAGCTAAAAAAATATAGTTATAAGCATTGTAGCTTTATTTTTAATTATTTTTAATTTTTGAATTCATCATCATGAATAAATTAACATAAAAATAACAACATACATTTAGAACAACATGCTCTGAATAAATTATTTTCCTTGTACATTTGAATCGTTATTTCTTTCCACTCTTCTGTTAAAATATCATAGTCAATGCTTTCAATTGGCATTTTATGTCGTATATCATCTCCCATAAATATATTCTAGTTTGTTGAATATAAAAAAATCTAGTAAAATATGAAGTAAAACAATTATTGTAAAAAATAAATATTTACTTCTAAATAAATATGCTGTCGTTGAACTGAAAGAGTAATTTCCAAAACTTCCATGATGAGACCTATAGATTTTTCTAAAAAGTCTGCCTCGTTTAGAAAAACGGAAATATATCTACAAACATAATTTATCATAAAATATTTTAAGAAACACGTAGGTTATTTTTTTTATATACTTTGATGCCTTGATCGCAGAAAGCTGCACAAGATGATCTTCTAATGATTGAAAAATGTCATCATTCACTTTCACGTAATAAATGCCTTTATCTTTGTAGGGTTCTAAGTGTAGATTTTCACTGGACCATATTTCTTTTATATTTCGTATAGCCTTAGATCACAAAAAATATAATTTAGAACTTGCTTTTATAATTATTATTTTATGAAAATGTAATACATTGTCTAAACCTAATTCTATAGTTGATTTTCTCGACACATCATTAATTTTTTCACTGTAGTTCCGAATTTTAACTTCCATTAATTTTTCTAGCGTAAAATCAGATTTTTCCTCGATTAATTTGCTAATAAAATACATAATCTAAAATAATATTTTTGGTAGGTATGTGATTTGATATTATTGAGAATTGATCACTCACTCATTTATGACGTTTCGTACTTCGTCCCAATGTCTGTCTTTCATTGCTGGATTTTTTAAATCATCGACCACCGGTAATAAATTACGAAATTCGTCAATATTATTACGAGTTGTTTCTATTACCTCCCATTTTTTATTTTTTAATCCATTAACCAAAATATTAAATTGATCAAAAAATGCATCTACAGTAACTTTTAAATCAGAAACTTCTATAAGCCAAAATTGTTTTTGTTTATAGTCTTTCCAAATATCATCCCATGTATTGACTAGTTTCCAAACTGAGTGTAAAACTAATATTTCCTTTAAACAGAATTGAAAATTACTTAAGTTATTAGTGAAGAAGTGAGAAAGGTGTTTGTGCATAATTAAAATAAAAGTGTAACATCATGGATTAATAAAACTAAAGTTTCGAGGTTGATAACTGATAAGTGACCAATTAAATAAATTGATATTTTAATTTTTAAATAATATTTATTACTTCTTGAAGTTTGCCAATTTCAAGTGAATGAATATATTTTATATCAAATACAGCAAGATCATCGTTCAATTGTTTTTCTTCCGTTTTTAATATGTCTAATTTATTTTGCATTTGTTCAGTATATATCAAAGCATCTAAAAAGTAATTTGAAACAGAATTATTGATGTGCATTTACGCATTTGCAGTATTAATACTCAATAAATAAAAGGTATTTCATTTTTCTTCTCATTATAAAAACCACTCTGTTACCCGATTGTTCAGGCATTGAGTATTAAATGATTACAGAAAATACTAATTGGGATATTAACATAATGATTTAATGTTGTTATAAAAAATGTAATTAAAATAAATCCATATGAATGTTTAAAATCAGATAGTATTGACAGGATTATTTTCTATTTACCGTTTGATTTCCATTCTGTGGAAATTGGCATGGTTTCTAAAAATGTTTGTAGTAGTTCTTTAGATTTTAATTTTAAATTAGTTTGTGTTTCTTTTAGTAGTTTCATAAATTCATTTTGTTTTATTTTTAACATTATTTCGGCGTCTTCGAGAGTATTCTTATACACACTCCAAACTTGAAACAATTTTTCATATTTAACTTTTATTACTTCTGTCATTTGTATATCATTCATTTCTAAATTAATATTTAAATCAATGTTTTAAATTTGATTATTTAAATATAATAACAGTTATATTACTAAAATAATTTTTAAATTTAATTTGCAGACATACCTAATACTTGAACATTATCAGAAATTAGTGTAAATTCCTTAGCTTTATTATTGTACTCTAAAACTATTCTATTTCGTACTTCAATGAATGAAATCATTTCAGTTAAATTTTTAGGCGGTGTCATCACTCTAAAGAAAAAATAACCAAATATAATCAAATGTCATTATTACAGGAATATTATTTCATTATATTTTACTGAAGGCTGTTAATTCTTGTATATTGATAAAATCCTTCTATGAGATTTGTCGTCATTTCAAGAAGAAGATTCGAAAAGTTATCCCTCCACTGATCACAGTGTCTAATAATGTCATCTTTCAACATGTTTGTTTGTACTAGAAAATGAGAGACTTGGGCAACTGGTTTAATGCGAGATATTTTACGTTTATAAATTGAATATCTGTGAATTTAAATAAATTCAGTACCATAATAATTCAGAAAGGTCTTATAACAATTAAAACTATAATTTACTGAGTCATATCCTGATTAAAATGTGTTGCTGAAGAATTGAAGGTTCTATATTTTTCAAAAAACAATTTCTTATCCATTGCCCAAATGTCTTTTAATACTAAATACTCGTGCATATAACGTCTTAATCGTCTTAAAGCATTTATAGTAGCTGTTAATATATGAAATAAATTAAAATAATTCTTAAAATAATAATTACAATAAAATATTGTTTTATTTATACCTATGTTATAATTTTCCTGTAGTTTAATACAAAGCCAATCTTTAGAAATTTCATCTTCATACGGAATCCAATTATTTCTTGATAGTTGGAATATATGATTTAATCTTGGCAGTAATTTAACGGCCATTAATAAATCTGTTAAAAAGTTCGCTGAGAACGACAGAATTTCTAATAGACTAGCTTCATATTTAATCTATAGATATCAATTGATGAGTATTATTAGGACTTTTTTATTAATTGTTTTTAAGTTACCTATTTACTATTAATTTAGGTTACCTTATTGGCTTTTAAGCTCACGTGAATAAGTATTACCGGCGTTGGACCTGAACCATCGCCGACACTTAGTTCTAAAATATTTTCTAACGAACATTGGCAGTTAAGAATCAATGCTTTGCATAGAAGGCTGTCTATTTTCTCTACATAATGTGTCCAATATACCATGAGCTAAAAATATCCAGAATTAATTAAACTTAAAAATTAAAATATAATTAAGGTAGTTTATGAACTGTATACGTTATTGATATGTTCTTTAAATCCTTTATAGATGACCATTATGTATTTTAAAATAAGATTGTAATTATCAGAAATTTTCAGTATCATTTTACTTCTGAAACATTTAAAAACATAATAATTTGTATATTATAAATATGAATATTCTATGCATATTTTTTATAAGCTAACTTACAGTGTAACTCTTTAACAGCGAACACTCATTATTTTAAAAAGTAAACTATATTAATGTATTGTTATCGCGTTTTAAGTTTTCAATTTTTTAATGATAACATTTTAATTTCGTGTTCTGAAGCAAAATCTTTTTCTAAGTATTTTTAATAGAAAAATCAAATTTCGAAAGAGTGGATATAATTATTTGTCGACCTTTTTTGATCTTATGTGTACATTTGTGCCATTTCACGCCGACGAGCTAAATGCAAAATACTTGTCACTTATAACTAATTTTAACTACTTGGTCTAAATTCCGATTAAAATTAAAATTTCAAAATTATCAAAAAATTATTCTACTTCAGAATATGAAATTAAAAATTCATGTTGTTATTCAAAAAGTATTATCTTAATTAAAAAAAAAAAAAAAATGGTACAAAATGTTATTTCAAATTATTTTTCTTGCTATGCCTTAAATTATTTTAACAAATATTTCCAACAATGTTAGTACTTGTTGATATAGAATGAATGTTTACTGTTGAATGAATGAATAAGTATAATATACAAGTATTTTAAAATTAATACATTTATCCACAGATTAGATATAATAAAATATATACGTACTTAAACATTTCAATTTTTTTTTTGAGTTCTCTTAATTCCAAGATTTGCACTCGGTTTATTTTAAAAAGGGTCAAATTTGCTATTTCCTCAGAAACGCGTACAATTTGTATGTTACAATATTTGTATTGGTCAACACAGTATTGAACCTGAAATACTTATACCTTAGTTTAATTTGTTCATGCTTAGATGAAAATTTACTTTACCGATTCTAATTCATCATAACAATCAATTAAATAGTTGTCAATGTCTAATCGTTTCCAAGTATAGCATTGAATCATTGGTGATGTAATTTTATTGCATACCTCTATTGATTCGCTAAATAATAGCATTTCATGCTCGGATAAACCTATATAATGCATGCATTTATATTTAATAACAAATTCAAATATGTTTTAAACTTTTTGACTATAACAATGTGCTATCAGATTATTATTATTTTTATCTGTTGTCAGATTTGTATAAAATAAAATACAACTGAAAACAAAACTGAAAAAATATCTATCAAAATAGCAGATAGATAGAGTTTAGGTATTACACATTATTTATTTCTATAATTTATTTTACTTAGATTGGATATTGCAGATATGAAAATACTGTATTTACTCAAATATTGTAAGTATATATAATTGTGTGTATGTGACCACAAAGACTTTCTTCAAACAAATAATGTTGCACGGCGTACTGTATAGGCATTATAGGCACATGACTGTGTAGAATACAATTGTACATTATACATTATTATAAAAATGATCAATTAACTGACTAAAATCGAGCTGTTTAATCGAAACTATATTTCTTATTCTTAATTTGCTTGATAAATGAATGTAGTTTCAAGTGTTTTTGAAGTTGTTAACTAATAACGGGGTCTTATAATACCACGAATAAAAAACTATTCAGCAATATTAGCATTAAAAAAAAATTGACTAATCAGATATAGACAAAAAACTATTAGACATCCACGACAATTATTTTTGGTTTTGAGGTGCAATTGCTTTGTACAATTTGAATGCTCATAAATTAGATATCTTAATAAGATTTTTTCAGTGAAAATTAAACAAAACATTTTGGACCTAATGTGACGATATTTGTAAATAACTCATTTTTGCGTATTTATATAATATGATTATTGATTACAAAATTAGTAATTTTTACTGAAAATTAATTCATCTCATTAATTCACAATGTCATAAAATATTATGATCTTAATATATAAAGTATGTAATTATTCTAAAACAAAAATACCAGCTATGAGAGTATTGTAGTCATTAACGATTTTTGATGTATTTCGGTGTAGTCGCATTATTTTCGTTGCGTTTGTAACTATGTTATTTGTTGTCAGTATATTTTTGAAGCCAACTAACGACCAATACTCAATTTCAGTTAACAGTTCAAATACATCACTAATAACAAATACAAATGATGTGCTTAAGTGGTTGAATTTTTTCATGATAGTTTTAAAAATACCAGTCCAAGTTAACCGTCAAATGCCAGAATTGATCATTTTGGTTTCCTACTAAAATATATTTCTCAAGTTTTTTCTCATAGTTTATATTCGATTGATTATTCCATGATTCAATCGTATTATTAATTAGATCTTGATAGGCAATTGTATAACTCTTGTATAGCTCATGAAGTTTTTTAATATTTGAACACGGTAATAACCAAGGACGCTCTGATATCATCTGAAATGCATACAATTGATTTAAGTTTTTAAAATTCAAAATCTAATTTAAACGTTGAAAGGAATAATTACAGTAGATAACATTTAGGATATTAACACGATGTTATTTTGTCCACCTGGAATTCTGGGGGCTATTAATTTAACACAAACCTCGTTATGATTTTATCAGATAAGTACTAGAAGAATCGATGAAAACTGTTAAAATATTCATATTTTCAATAAAGACATTCGTTATTAAATAAAAAGAGATCCATTTTTAATGTTCTGTTCGTATGAATCAGATGCAGTACCATTATTAACCTCATACACGATTTTTCACTGTTTGTACCTAATGCGTTTTTAATAATTTAGATGGCTATAGCCTATAATATAGACACAAATACTCACATTTTTTAGCGTTTCGATTCTTTTGTATTCGGTCATCGCGGTTATGCAGACACCTGAATACTGGATCATAAAGGACGGTATTTGGTAACTATTGTCAGTGTAAAATTGCATAGCTAATGATATATCGTCGATCAACATGGCGTAGACGTCGTTTGTTTTCTTCTGAAAGTGGCCATTCAACTGTGGCCAACTAGAAAAATAATGCAAGCTCTGTAGAACATTCAGAGCTTCTTCGATGTTACATGTAAGACTCAACGCATCATTTAACAGCTGTTCAACGATGTTGCATAATTCTTTCACTTCGTTTTTGAATCTAACATAATCCAATAAAACGTTTTAACAAGGATTATACCGGCGTGTATAGCGTCGATGGGAAATAAATTGGTTTGCGATTTGAAATCTTACTCGAGTTCGTGTTGATACCAATCAGTGGTATTTACGTTGAATATTAAGTTTTGAACATTCTCCAGATTGTTTATCAATTTGTTGAATTTTAATTCTATGGATTCCATGACTTTTTCGAACTCCAATCCTTTAGTAAATGAAAATTTTGGTTTTGGTATTGGGTGATTTCTGTTTATTCTACATATAAAGAAATGTAAGCACAAGTGTCGTTTAAAAATATTTAACAATAAGTAGGTCAAATTATTGGGTGGTGACTTGGTATTATCAGGGATGGAGTTGACCGTCAACAAATATATCCAAAAGTAAAATTAAATAATAAAAAAAATATATATAAATAGGTATATAATATATTATATTAAACATATGTATATCGTATGTACATATTTAGATAACTGTAGGTACCTTTTAAATAAGACAATGGATTTGCATATATAATTAACATCTCTGCAGCGATCCAAAAACATATGCACGTCTTTAGTTTCCACTGACCAGTGTCCTTCATTTTTAGAATTATAAATTTCAATTACCTGTCAAATATTTTGTTTCGCAATCAAACAATGGTAAAAATATAGGAAATCAATTGTTGTTTTTACTTTTGTATATATTGAAATATAATTTTTACAACAATTCATCGAAACTTGCAGTTTATTCAAAACACTTTCCGTATTTCCAGAGAATAGTTCCGACATTTTTATGGTTTTTCGGCAAATGAACACGATTTGATTTCCCAGATATTCGAACAAACGACTTATGTCGGACCTGGTGTTCGTTGAAAATTAGGTTCGTTACGTTTAATTACATCGTAACAACATGGTACTTTACCATTTATTGTAATACTCCGATTCTTCAAAAATAAAAATAAACTTAACAAAAATGTCCGGCAATCTTGTTAATACGTCATTCGGTGATTGTACATCATATAAGCTTATAACGGGATCCCATAAGATTTGTAAGTAATTTAGATTGGATTTTGCTTCTACTTTGGCTGCCTATATATGTTATAATAATTTATTGTACATATTATAATATAAATATATAATACAAATATAATATCGTACCACTACAATATAATAATATTAAATTATCATTACTTACATATTATTTAAGATAAATAAATAATTTATAATTTATCATGGATAATTAATTTAACTGATCGTTGATTGTTGATGCGATCAGTAATAACACTTTACTTTACAATATATGAACCATTTATCATTCAGTACATATTATACTCAATGTTATTACCTATGTACTCATATGCATACAATAAAAAATAAATAATAACTTTTATAAAATTCTAGAACTGTCGTTAACAATCAATGAAAGTTAAAAAATTTGTTTTTGAGGAATAAAATAAAAGTTAAATAAAGTTTGAGGAATAAGCTATAGAGCTTAAATTTTTTCACTATTATTAATACTTATTATCAGTACCTCATAGTATTATAAAAACTATAAAAACCACCTAAATGTTTTCCGAAAATAAAAATGACAGGAGGATGATGTACACTAGCTCTTCATCGTTGCTTTTTGATCCTTGATTTTTTATTGTTTAAATATTTTATTATATTATTAAAATAGTAGGCATCAGATAAACTATACAATTTATTGTTGTATTAATGATTTCTAAGCTCTCAATTCAATCAATGAAAATATTTATCTACCTTAATTTCATCTATAGCATTGTTGAAAGAATGGACAAGAATCGATTGATGCTGCTTCAATATTGTGAGAATTTCTTCAACACTCTTATAACTTAATAGAGTAGTTATGAATCTTAAATTTGTAACTAGAATAAAAACATATCATTATGAGTCTTTGTAAAAATGTATAATGCTACTTTATGTACTTCAGTTTTAGTAAAAAGGTACCAACAATTATGTATACTACCTATGACGAAATTTTAATCTGCTTTGAATATGTATAGGTAGAATTCAGAGTTAAATTTACATAATTAGACAATCATATAGATAAAGTAATAATAATATTATCCATTATAGTGACAATGATTAATGTTCACTATTTAGGTATATTGTAAAATGTCTTTATGTATTAATTAAAAAAGTTTTTATTCACATCTACCAAGGATCAAACAATGATAATATGATAGAACATTCATTTTACTCACGTCTAGTTTTCCAATAACCTATCTCATCAATAATATGTTCCATCATATATTCACATCTAGTTGGTACTCTTTCAGTGTCCATTAAGCATTTTTGAATTTCCAAAGTATATACGTTTAAGATATCTAAAACACAAGTAATAGTAGGTATAAGTAATGTAAGTAGTTTAACTTGATATTAAGATCATAAATGTATTTGTTGATTTGAAATAGATTCTTAATTTAAAAGTTATATACATTTATTAATATTATAACCATTATCTAATAATCTAAATCGAATTAAAAATAATTGTTTATAAATAACTACAACTTACAAGACATACATTATTAAAATTAAATGACGATTTCATGTTGCTAATAACTGATAAATGATAAAATATCAAAATTCAAATAATAATAATATATAACAATGAACATAATCAATATTGAATTGTGTAAAACAATATAAACATTTTTTTTGTTTTGTTTTCCAATACCTACTTAAAATAATTGATTCATTTTTATACTTTATAAACCTACCTTTAATTTTATGTAAAAGTAGAATAAATATTATTTAAGTCATTAATTAGTTAATTTAGATTATAGTTTTAATACTGAAAATTGTGCTATTATATTTTAAGGAATTTTAGCAATACATTATTTTATGATAATACTAATAACATTAAGACTGGTGAAGTATCTTTTCATTAATAACACTATATGGTTTGAATTAATGATAAAACTATAAAAGTGGTGTATATATTAATCGACAATAGTTAACATAAAAACAATTGATGAAAAAGTTTTTTTTCTTTAAATTGAAGGTGATCTATCTATATTTTAATACCTGTGATTATAAACACTTTATTTTGTTAATTTTTTTTTATTTACTTAATACATGAAAACTAACTTTCTAGTACTTTGAGAGTTTCTTCGCTAACACTTTTTAAAGTTTCATCAAATTTTCCAACAATTGTTGGGATGTAGATACTAGGCATTCCTAAAAACTTGTATCTCAATGAACATAGTTCTTGAATAACGGCTCTGTATTGTTCGAAAAATTGATCTTTTTCACCTAATCAATGCGGGTTAAAGAAAAAATTATTTATTTTCTAATACTTTTAATTTTAAGTAATCAATACCAATAATGGCCGAATATAGCAATAGTTTATAAAAAAAAGAACGAAAACAAAACATGTTGTTTGATACATCAATTTTTTTTGTTCTAAAACAAAGGATACTAGATGACCAAGAAAATATAAAGGGAGAATACAAAGAGTCCAATAACAAGAACATTGTTTTCTCCACTTGTGTGTCCATTTTTCCGAATGAAATCATTTTTAAGAAATTTGAGTTGTTCAGGTTTGTGTGTTCGCTGTCGGTTGTCTTAAGAAACCACATTATAGAATCCGTACGAGCATTGGGTATGCAAAACGTGGCTTTAAGTATATTGTTTTCATAAAACAAACAAATCATTTGCCGATCCGTGCTAACGAACTCCTCTATGCTTGATATTACGTCAGTGGACCAATCACATTTATTCAAGTATGGGAGAAATGTACAAGCCTTAATACGATTCACCTGGAATTAAATTCATAAAAATAATATATTACAATAAAGACTATTTTAATTAGACCGAATAACAACTATTTAGATGTATATTATGATAATAATATGCTTATTTAGCATAGACAGGTAATTTGTAATTTTCAAAAGTAAAGATAATTTTCAAATTTAAATTGTATATTATTTTAGTGAAACAAATAAAGATAATACCAAATACTTTGTGAATGCAAATAGTAATAATAGTAAAAAAATATTCAATAGTCAACAATGGCATTGATATTATGCGTTTCACTGTAGTCAAATGTGTTTTGCATGCAATATTTGTCATCAAAACTACCAAAAAGACTGAAATAAACAGGTAAAATTTTTAGTAAAAACAATATTAATATGATATAATTAATTCTTAAAAATCCTAGAATTGTGGAATAATGTACCATGTTTATAAAATATAATGAAATAGGTAAAAATACGCATTCAAATTTTTTGTAATTGATTTCATAATTTCGCAAAACAAATGTACATTTTTTCTAGAATGGTCTATAATCATCAGTAAAAAATAAAAAAACATGCAAATGCAGTCCCAAATCCCATCGGTAAAAGATCTCAGATTGAATTTCAGTTCTTAAAATCGTGTTTCGTGTTTTGAACGTTTCCAATAAATTAAACACAGCTATTATAATATTCGTGTAATATTAAATAAATCTCTATAATTACGAGTTTTTTAACCGTAGATGCATCCATTTTATCCTCCTGTTCAGTCATATTGCCACAATTGACACAATGATCATCGAATAGAAAAATAGAAGAATAGACTAGTGCTGCATAGTAAGCACAACAACACTACACTACTACAGTCTATATTTTATTATAGTTGGCTGTACATAGAGTGAATTCGGTGGCTGCACCATTGTTTGTTTCCATAGACACCTATTAAGTTTATGTTATACTTGGGCATATTACCCTTCATATTACTATCCATAGTGATGATCATGACTCATGAGTCAAGCCGTTAACCTTACGTTGACTATTTTAGAAGTGGGAAAATGATTTTTAACACTTTCATTATTTATTATCAAATTATGCGTACACGCATTACTGTTTACTGAACGATACAAGCAATGTATAATATTTTTGGTATTGTCCGTTTAGAATTATCATAGCATGCAGACTGTATATTATGATATGTATGTAATTGTAATATTTCGTTTGTGTATACAGCGAGTTCCGCTGAATCTGATCACATCGGAGCAGGTGATTTCGATTATATTATATTGGATCTGTCGATTCCATACAACTTGTTAAAAAAAAAATAATTTATCATAATGTTATCATCATATTATATATACTTACAAAATTTTTTTATAAAAATAAAACACATAGATACGTCATAATATTAACTATTAAAAATAAAATGGGTATTAAAGAAAATTAACCCTTAAATTAACCATATCAATATTAGATTGCATTCGAGCGTCGATTAATTTTCTTTGATTAAAATTAAAAAATATGTTGTGTAATGAATACGGATTTTAATCAGCTAGAACTTTGACAGTTTAAAGCCATAAAATAATTTTAAAATGTGATTCAATTATTCGGTATGTGAAGATTCTTATAAAATCAATTTACATTGCGTACACAATAGATAATATTATATAACTTTAAACTTGGTTTAGGTTTTTATTTGTTGATTCTAATAAACGAATGATTTTATAACCAATTAAGTGGAATGTACTGTAATTTAATGCTCGCACACGATTGCGTATAATTAATGCTGAATCTCAGTAACAATAGATAATAGTAAATTATATTATAAAGTGAAGAGAGAATGTCCTATACCAGTCTAGAAAGCTAATAACTAGGGCCCGGAAGTTCATGAATTCAAATCTATCAAAATATGCAATTCATTTTTAAGTTTATTATGTTGTTGGTAGAAATACTAATTAAAAGAAGAGAGAAATATGCACAATTTAATAAATATGAAATATTTTGTACTATACCTTGGAAAATACAGATACAACTAAATACAAATTAAGAATTACAACTAAACCTTATCGAATGCGGACTTTTAGAGCTTAGAACGTTCTTGTAACTTGGTAGTTGGTATCACGATTCGCGGCAGTCCGAGAGTGAAACTCTACAATTTTTGATGTGGGAAAATATAAAATTATTCATTCAATTATATTATGAATACTAAGAATTACTGATTGCATCCGTAAATAAACATAATAGTTCTACGAATTTGGTGGCGTATTCGAGAATATAACGATTAAGGTTTTAATTAAATTTAACCAGGAGCATTATCGGGTCATAAATTATATTATATTGACAGCCTAATTTTAAACTGGTATTTATTTTATATTAGCTATGTTTTTATTTTTATGAAGACATATTTTTCAACGAATATATTTTGAAATATACCCGTTGTCCGACATTTTCATAAAGTAATATTATTAAAGAACAACATAATTATGCAGTAAAATACAATTTTATTTGAAAATATGCATATTTGAAAAAAAATCTCGTAACATGAGAAATTATTCAAACTAAAATTTCATTTTTTAACTCGATAGATTGTAATTAATATGTTTAGCTGATCTAGTAACTTTTGTATGTACTCAGTAAAATATTGAAATTTTTTTATTTTTTGGTCCTTTTTATTATCTTTTTTTTTATGGTTTTTTTTTTTTTTTTTTTTATTTTTTTTTTTTTTAATTTTATTAAATTTTTTTTTCTTTTTTTATTTTATTTTTTAATTATTTTGTTTTTTATTTTTTTTGTTTTTTTTTTTTTTAAAAAAAAAATCAATTTGTATTTCATCGAGTAAACAAAAAACGGGCAACTAACCTTACAGTAAATTTAAATTTGCTAATCTAACTTGTTGGTGGTATGAATGTTAGCATAAAACAATAATTATAACATCTACAAGGTAAACAAATATAATATTGATAACAAAATAAAATGTTACACACTTATATCTAACCAGTATCTTTTATGAATGGAATGCGTTTTTAGCCAATCGCTGAGATATTATTCCCATGCCGAGTCCACACGGTGTCCGGTTTTGTTGTGTCTCTGTTTTTAAAACAATTTAGGTTGTCTTGTCTGCGTTGGGAAAAGTTGAGTACGTTTTGTTTTTTTTTCTTGTCTTGTGTGGACCCGACATTATTATGACTGACGAAACGAACGTTTTTAGTTGTAGGTATGTGGTGATAAGCATATTTTAGCTTTTAACTTGATACGAATCCCACGGAAAACAGTGAAAAAGGTTTAAGTATTATGTCATTATATTGATTTCTTTTGGATTTCGTTTTTAATATTTGCACAGATTCACCTGGAAAAAAGCCTTGTCAGAGATCAGATATTCCGTCGAGATTGATGCGTAGAGGTACCTATATGGGCTATATGTTAAGTAGACGTTCGACATTAAATGCCACCGAACGTAATCGTATTTCCCCGTAATTGGATATTGTGCACGGAAATAGAAAGCTGCTTGGAAATTCGTCAATTTGTCAAATTATTTAACAGACGTTCGCCCGTTTGATGTCGACTTAACTGATTTTACTGTATTCCAATATGCACGGAAATATAAAGGTTACTTTGTGATTCTTCTTACAGTTAACAATCTAAAAGTATTAAAGTTTTATCTAAAATATATTTTCTACATAAATTGAATTTATTACAAAACAATATTTCTGATATGAAATATATTTTTAACTATTTTGTTCTTATAATTTTTTTGACTTAAAACTTTTTTGAATGCAAAATGCAAATACTTTTCATGAATGGGGTAACCCGCAAAATGGTTATTCACTACTCTGCTCAACTAAAATTTAAAGATTTATAAAGTTGTTGCTAACTGATTACTAGTTTGAAATTTGATTTTTATATAAAAAGGTAAAAACTTTCATAACTATAATTAAAAACATAAAGTAAAAAAATAAATTACTTTCAAAAAGATTAATACTTTTGGAGATAATGATGAGCAGTTAACACTGTTTCGATAATTCTGCCAGTATAATACAATTATGTGATTAAGTCGATTTAAATCAATTACTAGAACCGTATTGAGTTAGCCCGGTTATGGACCGGATCGTTTGAAAATCTTGGGACCGAAACCTATTTTTTGATGTAGATGTTTCACTGGTCTTTTCCGGTTCAAAACTCCAACAGATATTATTTTTATTCATTTTGATCAATAGACTAATGCACTAATGAGCAAACAGTTCATCATTATAAATAACCGAGGTAATAACCAATAATATTATGACATCGTAGAATCGTAAATCTGTAAAAAATTATCAATACTAAGAATATTTTTATATAATTATGTGTAAAGCAGACCTGTTATAAAACAAATTTCAAAATCTAATTTCCATGTATTCGATAATATTCCCGGTACCTGCTTGATTATTTTTGAATCGCAAATATCAATTCGCAATTCCCATCAGATGTAGATCGTAGCATAGATTAAATAATGTACTATTATTATATTAATCTATTATTTTGTAGAAACTATATTATCGGGATGCCAAAATAATTTCATTATTATTTCTGAAAATAATGACAATTTGTAGGTTTGTAAGCGTTTCAAAGTATTGTCACCTTATCCTTCCCTGTTTAAGATGCCAGTGGTAATATAAAATATAAAATAATGTATCGTTTACTCTTTACTCTACAGTCTACGCTCTGTACGACTGTATTACTCAACTGTTCAGGTCCGTTCTCCGTTAATATTATTAAAATTTATATTTTTATAACATCAAACTCAAATATGTGTCACCCTAGTGAGTCTATAATGTATTCTTATTTTTTTTTCCAGTAAGTCTAAAGCGTTGTGTAAAAATTGCGAATGCAAAATAAAAGTACCTAATTATAATAAATTTATCATAAAATAAAATATGAATATATGATTGTAGTTACTAGGTATCTCAATTCTGTACACCAAACATTTTTAAAACTATTAGCTTTGCTACCAGAACCCATTTGTATTACACATACATACGTTTAACTTCAATTTTATTTTTTATATCATATATTACTATAGGATACATAAAAAATAAATTCTGAAATATATACAGTAATCTTACAGTACACTTAACTATTAATTAGAGGTAACAGAGGTTCTTAATTTGTTAGTTTTTTTTATTCTGTAGTTATTTGCTATAAAAAAATAAAAAGCAAGTCTAACAAACAGGGTTGAAATTGGTATAAACCGAAACCTACATTTTTTATTTTTGAAAACCAAAATCTAAATTTTAGGTTTTTGAAAACTTAAACCTATAAAATTATAATCGTTCCAGTCCCTGATTTAAACTGTAACTCAAGTCAAATAAATAAATAACAATTTCATATAAACAGGAATAGTCCAATTTGGTTTGCTTTCTATTTAATTATTGTTTTGGTTTATTTTTTCTCTAACTTTTTGTATTCGATCACGTCTGGCTATGGGTAATTATAGCCTATAGGTACCCTATTAATCAATATCTGACAAAATCGACAATAGTATTCTCATTTCCAACACTTTAAAATACTTTTCAGACATAATATTTTATTGTGAACAATAATATGGTATCACACAAAGGTTCGTTACTTTCATTTTTAAAGAATAACAGTGAGTTTTGTAACAGTTCTATAATTGTTTAAGCCCAATAGTTTTTTATTAATTTTTGCGACAGGTGGACAACTGGGTCGTGTATTCAGCATCTATCGATTACTTACAAACAATATTATTAGTGCTCAGTTGGTAATTTATGCATTTAATGGAGAAGGTCTTTGTTTTCATTAATTCTCAGAATAAGCAGACAAAACAAATAATATGACAATCGATTTTTTTATGTTAATAATTGTCTTTTACCGTGCGGCTTGCCCTATACATGAGTTATGTATATTTTTAATTCTTTCGTTTCGTGTCAGTACTTAAAACCAAAATTACATTTGCAGAGTTTCTTTTATTCGTCCCTGTATAGTAAACATAAAATATTTAAGTATAAAAATGTATATAAGGAAGAAAACTGTAAAATGTACATTTTTAATTTGTTTTTATCATAATATGCGAAATGATACATTTTACGCTTTGTCGAGTTAACCGAAAAGACATTTTACATTTTTAAGGTTGTATTTTTGATATACATTATAATTTAATAAACTTAAAAAAAATATCGATTGATCGAAATAATATTACTTATGTCGTAATAAGTTACTAAGTTAGGTACTAATTACGTTTCAGTAACTGATTATACTTTTTACGTCTTAAATTGTATGTTTAGTGTTTACCTACTATTTATTATGTTCTATACATTATTGATTAATAATAATATCCAATACTTGTTGACACTGTTGTTTATACGTATTTTACTACTTAAATTATTTCCCACATAGTATTTATGTAGCTATGTATAATTAGTTTGATTTAGCAATGCAGAAAACAATATTATAATAACCAGTGTTACGCAATTTTTCGACCAATAACAATTAGGAACACGCACGTTAGGTTAGGTTGTTTCAATAAGGCGTCAACAGTTCGACATATCGTTGAACGTTATTTTCCTCACACGTTTTGAATACTGCAATACATATAGCAGTAGCCAACTCTTTATATAATATATTTTTTCGCAGATATTTAATCAATAACATGTTTAACTGATCGTGTACGTTTCTCATTGTTTATAGAATATAGCACATAATAATTGTGATATCCATTATTGAACGGATTGACAATATTTAAGTTAGAAACTGTTTTCGAACACAAATGCTTATTTAGCGTCTCGTTGGTGGTCGGTATTTATACCTATGTTAAGTATACATAATACATAATTCAGTTATTTCTAACGTGCATGTATGCAAATTGCATTGCACTTATAACATCGCAGTATTAGCTGTCGGAAATAAATGTAAACAAACAATTGCTAATGATTGTATATTGTCGTTTTATTAAACTTTTTATACATACACTATAATCACAATAATTTTGTACAATTTCATACCAAATATACACATAAATCATTACATAATATTATGTATATTCTTTTTACAATAACTTATAGTGCCTACATCACATCCAACATCTTCACAAGTCCTTAACACTATGTATATGGTTAACAAAAACATGACATATTACTTAACAATATTTATAATGCAATAATTTAACAACAGTTCATAAAAGTCTATTCAAGTATCTAAGGTTGCAGCAAAATACACATTTATCAGTTATCTCTGAGCTCTTTTTATGTACTTATTTTTATTATTATTAACTTAACTCCACTTGTACGGTTTCCATATTATGATATACTTTGGGGCACAGCTGATTTGTTTTTTGATATATGAACACCAATAAATAATAACTATGTACAGCACAGCACTACTACTAAAAACAATAATCGTATTTATAAAATATAGTTTTAATTATTTATGAGGTAACTTTATACAAGAAAAAATAATAATAGTAATATAACACAATACTTTTTGACAATATTGTGGTTTTGTAAATAATTTAGTCACACTCGTTATTGAGTTTAATGACGCGAAAGAATTAAAAAAAAAATTTATAAACATCATGTAGGTTACAATAAAAATTCCTATTAACTATAAGATTGAAAGCGGACCAAACGATTAAAAAAAAAAAAAAGATATAATGGTTGGCCTTTTTGACCATATATCATCTAAAATACTAAAAGAGTCATTAATGTGGATAATGCCAGGGGATCGTGATTTCGATATTTATGATAACATAATATTTTATAGTGTTGCGAGTGTCGGGAACCGAAAACGATACACTGCGCAGCTGCAGTACAAACAATTACAATCGAACATAATCGTGGTATTATACACAGTTGTAAATACATAATACCCTTTGGGACTACTATATTATTTGTGTATCGATATTTGATAAAACACTTAAAATGAATGATAATAATATTACGGAACACACTCGCGGGATGAGACAATATTTATTACAACAAATATACCTAAACACGACGGAGGGACGTCCGATATAACTTATTAGTTAGCAGTCATCGCCGATAAGAATATAGAATATTAAACGCACAACAATAAACATGTATATTATTGTCGTGCAAATAGATGGTATCAGTTAATAAAAAAAAATTAGAAATCAGTGGTCGTGGATTGTTTTGAAAGGATTTTGATGTGCTTTTATTATCACAAGAAAACGGCGGCATACAATTAGGAGTAGTGAATTTTCTGTACAATTATTTGTGTACATTACTTTGAAGCAGTCAAAAAAAAATATATTTATAAATATATAGGTAGTATATAATATATTATGTATATGTTATAATATGTATAAACACCGAGTCTTGCCGGTAATATATTTTACTTGCGAAAACGCTTGTGTGCAAAACTAAACGGGTTCGCGCACTCGAACGTGAAATAAATTATTACTAGAATCGTTTATGCCAAGTTTAGTGGCAGTCGCGAATCTTTTTTTTTTCAATAGATACCAATGTTTTTATTATTTTGCGAGGACAGCGGCGAAAAAGAGTCACGATAACATTATATTTTAATATACATAGTTCGAATATAATATAATAATTCGATAATACAATAGTAATAAAAACAAAATAAGTATGTAGATTATACTTATGAAAATATCGGACAAAACATGCTCAAACGGTTCGAATTAATAGTGTTAATAATATTATTATTATGTGAACGATAATATTATTATATTGTTGCACTAATAGCGAAAAACGTGAGCAGCGTTGAGACGAAAAACCGCGAGTATTACTCCGTTTCCGTCCCGTCGCCATCCGGACGTCCGTTTCACAGATGCGCCAGGATTTCCATTTCGGTGTCCCGGCACCGGACATTGGTGGTGTCGTTGTTGGCACTGGACACGGTTACGATGACCGTGCCTGGAGGGTTGGCGGCCGGCGTGGTCTGCACGATGGTGACCGGACCGCAACCGATGTGATGGCGGTCCGCGGTCTTTTCGTCCACGACGACCGCGATGTTGCGAACGTTGTCGTCGACTGTACCGCCGACGACGATGCCGACGTGGCCACCGCCTTCGCTTCCGTCGTCGTCGTCGGTGTTCGGAGGCGGCGGCACCTTGTTGTCCACAGGGGCGGCCGTCAACACGCCGCCGCCCACTGCCTCGGACATGGCCGCGCTCAGTTGCGACGAGTTGCGGCTGTGGTGGCCGCCGACCGCCGTAGATCCGATGACCACTGTCCCGGCCGTCGGGTCCATCATCAGGTGGCAGCCAGGCCGAAGCGTGCTGGTCCGCGACCGGTAACTTGGCGGGCCGCTGTAGTCGGCAGCCTGGTGGTGGTTGATCTGCAGCGTCGTCGGTTGGTACAGGTACAGTTCACTTGGGTCGCCGCGACAACAGACGTTTTGCCCTCTGTGGAAACACGTTTCGATTAATATTGTATTATTGGTAATTATTTATAACATCATTAATAACATATTATTCTAGTATTCTATAATGTGCCTATAACTATAAACCTTCATGATAATATATGCTAGTATGGTTGGTATAGTATAGTATAGTGAAGTAAACGGCTAAACAGGGTAAGCGTAAACCCAAATAACATAAGGGTTTGATTGAGCGTATTGTACACCCTGCGGAATAGAGTGCCTCAAGCTCCGAAGATTTTACTCGATTTAGTTTTCGATCCAGAATACGAGATCCTAATCCGTCATTAATTTCTATTTGAAAATGATTATATTTTTTCTTGAAATCGTAGATATTAATCACTTAAATCGTAAATGTTGAGATATTACTTGTACATCGGATGCGTATAAATCTATGAGTATAACGATGAGTAAGTGTAGACAAAAACGACCATGTGATGGATGTAGCGTGGATCATATAGCAAGGACCATAGACAAGTTTAGAATGATATTTCACAAGGACGCTGCGAGTTCGTAGTACGGGTCATAATAATAATTTATAATCGTATATATTATGTGTGGTATATGCGTAATGCGTAAGACATTTAAGAAAATCCACTGGAGAATACGACGACTTGTAATAATATAGGTATCGTATACGCGTAAATCTCAATAAACAGAGGACGTTTCGTCCTTCAACAATAATAAATAATATTATTATGTACAACGTATTTTTATTTTATTTGAATACAAACAATCATCGAATAATCGGAATCGTGAGACGTCCGTATTATTAATTTATTGTCCGTCGAGCTTACACGCTCCAAGAGTACATATATAGGTAATATTATCATCCATCGTCGGAATAGCACGATGATAATAATAATATGCAATTCACGGCGTTCGGACAGTAATGTTTTGACGGTACGTCGTTTTTAATAAATAATTATTGTCCGGTCGGGACTCACCTTATCAGCGTGCCGGGTTGCGACCTGTACGTCGGCGGCGGCGACGCAGTGACGGGCGGCATGTTCGTCTGTCTGTCCAACAGCAACAGCCTCAGTCGGTACTCTTGCATGGACGCCTGGTAGGACGGCGGCGGAGCTCTGTACTCGAACTCGGGATACATCATTGCTGTGGGACGAAGAAATCAAAGATAATATAGGTAAACCGAAAACACCAAGTCAGCTCGTTCTACGGCTGCCGCGTGCTAATTATATGGGTGCGTTTAATACGTGTTTCGGGGATGTCTTCGAGACACTTACCCGCGTAGGGATGATGCGGACGGCCGTAGGACGGCGGCAGTCTGGGCACGAACCGCCTGTTGGCTTCGGCCGCGTCGTCCAACGATCGGCCCAGCCCGAACACCGCTCCGCACGACGACGCTTCTTGACCGGCCGTCAAGCGCCACGCTATACCGCTGATGGCCACTAGAATGACACCGACACCTGCGAAACAGAAGGAAAATTAATTATCGTTCGCGATTTATCGTCCCGATCGAAAGTACTGCGGGCGTTTAAAAAAACAATTTTACCACCCCCTCCCCTACGTGATAATATTATATACGTTATTATTAATAGACGGTCGTTTAAAAGAGGTCGTGTGTGCGCTTAATAGTATATATTGTACAACTTTATACTGTGGTCGCGCTCATATCACGTACGAAAAACAAGTTCGAAACGACATTATTGGTAATGAGTTTTAAAGTTTAATATCCTCGTGTTGTGCACATCTACGTATGCGTAACTATGTGTTTTTTTTTCATCGGCAAAGAGCGATTATACGTGATTATTTCTGTTAAGCGATTTTTCGGTATTTGTCAAATACTTTTCTAGTCGTTCGAGTCCATACATTACGTCTACTTAATCGTTGGTTGACATTCCGTGGTATCTATCGATAAAATGGCTATACGTCGTCGTTATGATTTTGTGTGCGGAGCTTCATTTGATTTTCCGTCCAATAATGCGCCGCACAGTCCAATAAAGTCTAATCCGTCGAATAGGTTCGGGCCCAATTTACAAAAATGTTTTATTTTTCGTTAAAGTGATTACATTTCATTACGAGATTATAGACGTTATTGTGTCGTACATTAACGACGACGGGGCATGTTCGAAGTTAATGATTTTGAACATGCGAAAAGGGGACCTTTATATATAATATATGGTTATTACTATACCCTATACCAACTTCATGTACGCTCACGACGTGGTAACGTAGCAGAAACTTGGAACCGAGTAATTTATATATATTGTTGACGAACGCAGTAACCCGCACTATTGTGTGTCTCTGTGAGGGTGGGGAGGGTTGAGTATTTAAACAATAATCCCATTCATATCACAGTGACGAATGACGATGATATGGAGTGACTGACATTTTTTTTAAATTTAATAACACGGAAGATTTTCTATACAATACTAACATTATTACACTTCTTTACTGCTCATATAATATTCGACATAAGTATTTACTATTTAGTAGTGCCTACTTATAATATAAAATAATGGCAAATATGTAGGAAGTAAGTCCGTAGTACGCAGTGAAAAAAAAAAATTCCGTGATTATTCAGATAGTGTGATGAACGCGAAGTATTCGATAAATTCATATAGTTACATTTGCTCAAAAATACTAAGAAATTAAAATAAACCTTAAGTATAATTATACACAATCTGCGATGAATTTCTCATCTATACATCGAGTATCGAACAAATCATTCTAAATTTTAAGTGTCGGGAGATCCTACAATATGATGCCCTAATATCAAATCTTGAACCAAACCGAGTAAAAAATAAACAAGTATCGTCGGAGTAAAATATTTTCTTGTTAATATTGCATTTAATTATTTATTGCAAATCATATATATATTGCTACCTATTGAAGTGTAGTTACCGTTGGTGTTTACCGTTTATATTATAATGAAACGCGTGTTAATAGACCTCTGACAAACCGCTGGCTTCACTTGTTCGCGGAAGTTTAATTAAAACTTTTGGGTTTTCGAAAATTAAACAACACGTTTACTCTCTACTTGACATGCTGCGGCGACTCAAGGAAGTGTAAATTAATTATCGCCCCATCGATTGTTGACAATGCTCTCCGCCTCTTTTATATACGTAGCATCTATATATAAAACGCCGAACGGTTTTCGAGGGACGCAAAAAAAAAAAACATAATTGAGAGAGAGACTGGTGATTTTTTTCGATTCGAGTGTGTGTGTACAGCACGTCGCAGCGATAATATAAAAACAACCCTCGCACCAAGGATGGATGTTAAAGTATAACATTTAAAAGGGAAGTGCAGTTAGAGGACTCATTACGAGTCCTTTGTCCAGAGTAATGCCGACACAAGGTGGGAGGGATATAATAACCCATTTTCAAAAGCCACTAGAATTAAAAAATACTAATAATTTAGACTGTATAATTAAATTCGGTTTTGTACTTCACACAAACATTTTTAACGCGCTCAATTGCGAGCATATTTTTTTATTTTGATATTATAAGTATAATAACACAATATAAAATACCCTAACGTAGTAACGTTAATCTATATTATTTATTTTATGCATTATACCAATTATTGTTTTTTATTAGCAATAACTGATATTATTTACATATTTTGTTAATTACTATATAGGTACTCAATTAATGATTACACGAAGCTTTTAAATAAAAATAATAAATATTATTGTACACAAGAAGTATTTTGAATAGCAAGTACTTTGTTTGTAATAAATAATAATATAACCATTGATTCAAAGTTATTGAATACTTACATTAAAATATTATATAAGATTTATATTTTCCCACAAAGAAATACGAACCAATATTATATCCTATTAAATTAATATTGTTAAACAACATTAAATGCACTTGGGAGATGTTGTAATATTAATTAACATTATCAATAATAATAATTACGAGTCAATCGTAGCAAGAATTTATAAAATATTGATGTTAATTATGAAAAACCAAATTTTTACCAATTTTAATTAAATAATGAATAATTCTATATAAGTTTAAACTTATGGAAATTATTTTAAAATATTCTCTGTATAGTAAATAATTTTAAAACCTACCTACCCTATTTATTAACATAATAAATTATCTATGAATAATCATTATTACGTTTCATAATCAGTAGGTAGTACGATTAGACAAACAGGTTCTATAATGAAAATTCATATAAATATTTATAGGTAGAATATTGTATACCCACTGGAATTATTTTAAAAACAAATATTTTTGTCCTAAAAATTTAAAGCTCCTCAAAAAAATTCAGAGAAGTGTTTGGTTATTTTTAGAATCAAAAACTATGAGAGTTGATGATTGAGAAACGCTGAAAGCAAAACAATTTTAAATATGGATACCTATTGATACGTCAAAATATCAATACATTTTTAGAGAAGCATCATTATGTCGTTCGATAAAATAAAAGTATACACCTTAAAAATGTTTATGAACATTTATTTAAATAAATAAAAAACTTGGGAAAAAAAATTTAATAAAATATTTCCACGTATGTTGAATGAATGAATTCAGTTTGCAGCTAAAATCATCGCACTTGCTTAAAAGAGATTTTGTTCATTTATAAAAAAAAGTTTGAAAGCTGAACCTATAAGAATATATTTTATATCATAAGGTGTCATGATAAAATATAATAATTAAGGGTGCCTATTTATTATTCGTCCGACGTATGAGTAATAATAATAAATAACCGAGAGAAATGACGGAACTGCTGGATTGTAACAATATAACTTTTTCCCGTATCACGGATCGAATATTTACACGTGGGAATGTTGTTTCAGCGAATATTATTGCATTTACGACGAATAATAATATGAATATACATGATAATGGTATACGATCACGATTATACACACGCGAAGAGTGTATAATAATGCGGACTAGGTAGTTAAAGGGTAAATATTGTATGATATTTATTTGCATAAAGTTTCGATTAACTTTTTGTTAAAAAAAAAAAAAATAGAAAAAATTGAAAGCTTAAATCTTATCGCTCGACAAAAACCATTTACATATAAATACGATACCGGCTCTCTCTCTCACTCGCGTGCGACCGAGTCAATTATGTTTCATTGGTATTCATTAGGCGTCTGTTATAGGGAATCGGAAACGCGCGTATCTCTTCGTTTACGGAAGGAAAAAAATCTATTTCTCGATACGATGACGGTCGTATATACACGTATATAATACTCGTCGGATGTACTTCTGCACGTTTTAAAAGCTTCACGGGTAGTGGATTTTCCGGTGTTCGCGATTCGCTCTCCCCACAACTGCAGTGCTCTGCAATATTATATTATTATACGATACCTACTCCGCAGACGACTATATGGTGTACAGTAAGTTTATTAGGTGGTACCTCTGAACACGCTGACGCACATACCGCGAATCGCGGCAGCGTGTGAAATTGGATAATTGCGGAAATATTATCCGCCGAATCTTTCATATTAGGTATGTGTTTTTTCTTTTAAACAATTTTTCCCCGACCGAAAATACCGAACGACTCTATCCCCCTCCCTCCCTCGGCAGCGATCGTAGAAAACGTACCTACGAACAATACAAAAAAAAAACAAAACAAAAACTCAACACCAAAAAAAACAAAAACCTATAAGGCCAAAAAGGAAGAAAAAAACATCTCCGCGTAACGAAAACGCCGCATTATATTATATTATTATTATTGTTGTACACTGTCACAAAACGTTTTCGTTCTCTACACACACGCACTGAGAGTAGTACCTACACCTATACCTAAATGATAATATATAATAACATATCGCGTGTATACAATGCTCTTATACTATATTATTATATTGCTATTATATGGTTGCAGATGAACAAAAAACCCAAAGAATATCGCACGGACACGCGTTCAATGACTGTGTACGATTTTTTGTGTTTTTCACTTCTTGTTCCGTATACATATCTATACCTATAATATTATTTCATACCCTTCCACACACGTCATGTGCGGTGTCATTATGACGTTTCGCCGTTTCGGTGTAGCTCGCTCGCTTTGTTGTTTCATACATATATTTTTCAAAAGTTGTTTTTCGTCTCTGAAACGACCCGTAATGATAGGTCCTACGCGCGAGATGGTGCGCACATAATAATAATAATAATAATAATAATAATAATAATAATAATGATAATAATAATATGATATCATTTCGCCGTGGCTGCCTTGCGGCGTGGCGTTCGTGCAAGGTCGACCGCAAGAACGTGCTGCCGACTTGCATTCGTTAAGACGAGGAGCCCCCCCCCAACCTTCGACTTCGTGCGCCCAGTTCAATGACGGGGTGAGTGGTTCTATCAGATACGCGCGGGGGTGGACCGAGGAATGAGCATATAATATGGTAATGAGGGGTGAGTGAAAACAAAATATAATGATACGCTGCACCGTCGTATGATTAATTAATGGTAACGAAACGGTTGGTAGT